CATCTCTTGTGGTTTTAATAAAACAGTCTTTTTAATTTAACAAATGAAATAAAATCATGCAATGTTCTGTACGATGTTCCATGGTAGCATTTCTTTCACAACGGAAGGCCACAAAAAAAGCTATTCATAGCCAAGCCAGTACGTGAGCATTTCTCTAAGAGGAAACTATAACAACGTGTTACCTACAGTGCCAAGCTTGTAGCGTCATACCCAAGAAGACTCAAGCCTGTAATCGCTGCCAATGTGCTTCAACAAAGGACTGAGTAAAGGTTCTGAATACTTATGTAAATGTATTATTTCCGTTTTTTTTGCAAACATTTCTAAAAACCTGTTTTTGCTTTGTCATTATGGGGTATTGTGTGTAGATTGATGAGGGGGAAAAAAAATACGTAACGTAACAAAATGTGGAAAAAGTGAAGGGGTCTGAATACTTTCTGAATGCACTGTATGTGCGCAGAGAAGAGTGGACCATTAGGCAAAACAAACCAATTACCATTCTCCTGTCTGCCAGAATTGGGGCGCCTTCTATTCTACCTGACTTGGGGTGATTGGTACTGTGTTGAAAGTGTTCCGGTTAAATGAACATCTCTCTCTGACAGAGAGGAATCAAAACAGACTGTCCTACTGCCTGGGATCCATTCAGTTGCATCACAATGGAGACATTACAAACAAGAGTTGTGGGATGATATGCGTTAGCCTATGTATCTACTTTATAGTAGAAGCTGCCGCTTCTCTCACTCACTATCTCTCTCTCTCTCACTCACTATCTCTCTCTCTCTCTCTCTCACTCACTATCGCTCTCTCACACACACACACATCTCCTCCACCCTGTTGCGTAATGGACAACAGTGATGTTTTACGTGAAGCTCACGGCTTCACAGAGCACAACAGACCTTACTGAGCCTCAGTGAGCCTAGCTCGCTCCCTCTAGTCGCCGTAGCATCCGTTTGGCGACTGCACTGTCTCCCTCTTTAGACTCTCTCAGGACTTTCTATGATATTTCAATCAGAATGCAGCACAACCTATGCTTAAGGTTGACAATCAAACTCTCCTCAGCTTTGCTCCAATGACAAAATGTAGCTAGGTCATCCAAGGCCACTTTTAGAGGGGAAATCATAGGTGTCACGATCGTCGTTAATAGAGGAGGACCAAGGCGCAGCGTGTTGAGCGAACATACTTTAATTAGTTAAAGTGCACACACGATACAAAACAACAAAACGACTCGTAACGTCCTAGGTAACAATGACCTATACGGAACAAAAACCCACAAACACCAAGGGAAAACAGACAGTATAAATATGGCTCCCAATCAGAGACAACCAGCCACAGCTGACACTCGTTGCCTCTGATTGGGAGTCACTCAGGCCAACAAAGAAACAGAAGAACTAGAACCCCCAACATAGAAATATAACACAAAGAATGAACACACCCTGGCTCAACATATAGAGTCCCAGAGCCAGGGTGTGACAGTGGAGCAGTTGACCGGTACCTTACCAGGCACCGGTGACCCAGGCACGGGTTGTGCTGGACTGACGACGCGCACCCCTGGCTTGGTGCGTGGAGTAGGAACGGGCCGAACCAGGCTGACGACTCGCACCCCTGGCTTGGTGCGTGGAGTAGGAACGGGCCGGACCAGGCTGACGACTCGCACCCCTGGCTTGGTGCGAGTGGCAGGAACAGGCCGGGCCGGGCTGGCGACGCGCACCGTAGACTTGGTGCGAGTGGCAGGAACAGGCCGGGCCGGGCTGACGATGCGCACCCCTGGCTTGGTGCGTGGAGTAGGAACGGGCCGGACCAGGCTGACGACTCGCACCCCTGGCTTGGTGCGAGTGGCAGGAACAGGCCGGGCCGGGCTGGCGACGCGCACCGTAGACTTGGTGCGAGTGGCAGGAACAGGCCGGGCCGGGCTGGCGACGCACACCGTAGGCTTGGTGCGTGGAGCAGGGACAGGCCGGACCGGGCTGGCGACGCACACCGTAGGCTTGGTGCGTGGAGCAGGGACAGGCCGGACCGGGCTGGCGACGCACACCGTAGGCTTGGTGCGTGGAGCAGGGACAGGCCGGACCGGGCTGGCGACGCACACCGTAGGCTTGGTGCGTGGAGCAGGGACAGGCCGGACCGGGCTGGCGACGCACACCGTAGGCTTGGTGCGAGGAGCAGGGACAGGCCGGACCGGGCTGGCGACGCACACCGTAGGCTTGGTGCGAGGAGCAGGGACAGGCCGGACCGGGCTGGCGACGCACACCGTAGGCTTGGTGCGAGGGGCCGTGACAGGCCGGACCGTACTGGGGACACACACCACTGGCTCTACTTTGACCAGCGGCCCCCGTAACCTGGTGGCCTTCTGAATACGCCCCTTTTCTGCCTCCGTCAGCCCCGTCGTCCATGCCCTGTGCCCCCCCCTAAAAATTATTTGGGGTTGCCTCTCGACCGTCCGACGACGACCCTGATCACGCCGTTGCTCCTCTCGCCGTCGCCTCTCTACAGTCTCACTCCATGGCCGGCGATCCATCCCGGCCAGGATTTCTTCCCAGGTCCAGGACCCCTGCCCGTCCAAAATCTGCTCCCACGTCCAGGCTGCCTGCTCCTGGACACGCTGCTTGGTCCTTGTATGGTGGGTTTTTCTGTCACGCTCGTCGGGAACAGAGGATGACCAAGGCGCAGCGTGTTGAGCGAACATACTTTAATTAGTTAAAGTGCACACACGATACAAAACAACAAAAGACTCGTAATGTCCTAGGTAACAATGACCTATACGGAACAAAAACCCACAAACACCAAGGGAAAACAGACAGTATAAATATGGCTCCCAATCAGAGACAACCAGCCACAGCTGACACTCGTTGCCTCTGATTGGGAGTCACTCAGGCCAACAAAGAAACAGAAGAACTAGAACCCCCAACATAGAAATATAACACAAAGAATGAACACACCCTGGCTCAACATATAGAGTCCCAGAGCCAGGGTGTGACAATAGGGCTGACCCCATTTAGTTGACTGGTCGATTGTTTGGTCGATAGGCTGTTGATTTTTTTTAGTCGAGCAGTCACATATAGATTTATTTTTATTTTTATGGTGCACAAGACACCTGTCTGATTCGCACCTGTCTCAATGGTCTAATCCATTGCAGAGGCCACAGGGATGGTACGGTCCATCACACTAAGACATGTGATACTGAAATTGTATATGGTTTATATTATGTAAAAAATAATGGTGCAACACTAATAAATCTAATATTATTTTATAACAAATGCGCTTTCTCCCGCGTTGGATACAGTCACTGTCCACGGTTCTGACACATAATCTTCAGTGTGACGTAGAATTGGCACCTTTCCCTATGTTGCTATGTGCATAACAGCTAAATTAACCAGCATATTGTGATTTGAGAACAATGTGGCGGAGGCAGCAGCAGAGACGAGGAAACAGCCTTAAGCCTAATTGTGTAAGAAAATTGAGGAGAGAGGAAACCCCAACTTTAATTAGGTCTGTAGTCAATCACCTAACTGTTAAATGGACCTGGCTTTATAAATCATCCATATATATTTACATTTTAGTCATTTAGCAGATGCTCTTATCCAGAGCGACTTACAGTTAGTGAGTGCATGCATTTTTTCATACTGCCCCCCCCCCCCCCCCCAAGGGAATCGAACCCACAACCCTGGCGTTGCAAGCGCCATACTCTACCAACTGAGCTACACGGGACCTATCTACAGAAATAAGACAGTTCTTGCTTCTGTTGCCTGTTTGAGTGTTTGTTTAATAGCCTACTGATTCAGTGAGCACCAAGCCTCATGCAGCGGCACAATGTGGGATAAAGCCATTTCACAGATTGGTCTGTTTTTATCTTTACTCTGCTGTAATAAAGGCTTTACACATGTATTTTTGTTAGAACAGACTGGTGTTACTTATATAATTGATTTTGTGTTGTTTACGCTGTTCCAAACAGACATAAAAAATAATATTGTAATCTAACAGCAACTGTTTGGCACACATAATACTCACACAAAGCTTGCTCCGATACCCTCCTTTTTTTTTATTGCTATCCAGTAGTTTTCCACAACTGTGTCAAATGTCTTCCACACATCTGACTTCCCATTTTCTCTCCTGAGCAACCAGTAAACTGTCGCCCGTTTCAAGTTTTTTTATCACATCTTCCGCATCCATTTTGCTGTTACTGTGTTGGGAGTTTGTTATAACCTGTTTATTCATGTGATTGATAGACTATAGGTCAGGCCCTATTGGTCACATCCATGTGATGCTTACACTTCCGGTCAAAAGTTTTAGAACACCTACTCATCCAAGGGTTTTTCTTTATTTTTTTAAAACTATTTTCTACATTGTAGAATAATAGTGAAGACATCAAAACTATGAAATAACACATATGGAATCATGTAGTAACCAAAAAAGTGTTAAACAAATAAAAATAGATTTTAGATTCTTCAAATAGCCATGAGATGCTTAAATGTTTCACGTGAAGAGAGCAAAGGGTGAGCGAATAGGGGAATGTTATTCCTAAACACATTGGGGATTTCGGTAACTGAACTTTCCAGTCAGAAACAAGTAAGAAACTAAATGGCTGAAATGATGTCGCAGCTTCAGCACACTTGCTGTGCTGTGGTGTCTGTTCGCTGCAGCAGGGAGGAGAGCGAGACAACGTGCGGCAGTCACACAGGCACTTGCTGTCATTTTGTTTTAGCACAGCGTGACCATCGGGCTCTTTCTTGAGTCATTTGTGTGTCTTAATTATATAATCAAACGGCGTGCTTAAAGCATCAGACAAGCTCAGTGCATATGTAGTTGATTTTATTCAAACACATAGGGTGTGTCTGTCTATATATGAAAAAATAAATTGTTTAAACATTTAGACCAATCGAACAGGATGACTCTCGGTTGACTAAGATGTTTTTCTTTGTCGGGGACAGCCCTAGGACACTAAGATGCAGTCAGTTTTATCCCAGTGACTGTACGGGGTTTTAGTACTACTGTTAGTCTCTGACCAGTGACCACCATAGACCATTGCCAGTCCTACCAGAGGACAGAGTTCCACGGTGTGTTTTATAAAAAGGACAGGATTTGGCTAATCTGGTTAAGTGATTTACTGCTTAGTTCACATGGTCTAAGGGAGATGATTAATTGGCAGTGGACGTGGGAGCATTTACAGTCACCATGCTTTCTCTCTCTATACCTGGAGATAGGTGCAAAGCTTGCCAAGTCAGTCCACCATTTTGGCATCTCGGCACCCATTTTTATTCTAAATCTTACACCAGATTTGTCAAAACTCTTTCTAGGGAGCTCTGGGGTCTCACGTCACTCTCATTGACAGCCATTGTGCTTGAAAAGTCAGATGAAAAAGTCCTTAGGGAGTGAACGTTATTCATAATAAGGGTTACATGGAGAAAAGCGAAACCTCCTCTCAAATGAAAATGGATGGCCCTCCCTTCAGCTAAATATATTTGACCTAAACCCTCCCTGAACGCTTTAAATAAAACAAGTGACCCAAGCTCCCTTTATACCCAAGCTTTAAACATAAAGTGGATAGCATAGAACATGCCTACAGTTTACCCTCACTTCCTGGACAGACCAGAGCCCCACAACAGTTTTAGAAACTGTTCTAGGTCATCCTGTAAGCATTGCATGGCAACACAGGAATGTTGATAGCGCACAGGGCTGCGGGCCAGAAGGTTGTGGGTTCACAGACCACTTTGGACAAGAGTAGGAGTGGAAAGATCTCCTTTATAGTAGAAGCATTGCATGAATCTATCATCGTATTTACAGGTCCGAGAAAAATCAGTTTTTTTAAATAAAAATGTCTTGCAATTCTACGTAATTTTACATCTCAGCAGAATATTTTTTGATACCACACAAATTACCGAAATTACAGGCTAAGAATGGACAGAGAGATAGGCGTATGTGTACGTCTTATCATATTTCTCCCTTGCCAAATCAGTGTGTCTTGTTTTGTAACGAAACTGTCCCTGTTTGCAAATAATTACATCTGAGAAGTCATTAGGTATCTGAGCATGGTACTTTCAAAATGTAGGACTATCTTTCCACCCCAGAGAGAGTAGGCCTACCGATGCAGAAGAAAATGTAAGCTTTAACCTCTACGGGATCGGTGTCCCGTATACGGGACGGTTGAGCTAACGTGCGCTAATGTGATTAGCATCTCTGTTGTAAGTATCAGCAAACTTTCCAGGACATAGACATGTCTTATATGGTGAGAAAGCTTAAATTCTTGTTAATCTAACTGAACTGTCAAATGTACAGTAGCTATTACAGAGAAAAAATACCATGCTATTGTTTGAGGAGAGTGCACAACAACAAGAAACTTATCACGGCAACTGGTTTGATACATTCACCTCTGAAGGTAAATAATGTACTTACATTCAGTAATCTTGCTCTGATTTGTCATCCTAAGGGCCCCAGAGATAAAATGTAGCATAGTTTTGTTTGATAAAATCAATTTTAATATTCAAATGTAGGAACTGGGTTCTACAGTTTGAACCCCTGCTGTCTCTGGCTCCACACCCAACCCGCCCGGCCATCTAGATAGGTGAAAGTTAGTGTATAAGCTAATGATCCATTATGTATGACATTCCTGGGAGTGTGTAAACTTACATTTTGTATTACCATATCATTTTTGTATGTTCTCTATAGTTATGTACTTGAAAATTTATCAATTGACGAATTCGGCACATTTGGGCAGACTTCAATCTGAAACGTTGCACACACACACTGCCGCCATCTAGTGGCCAACATCTAAATTGCGCCTAAACTGCAATATTATATTGTGGCCTTCCTCTTGCATTTCAAAGATGATAATAAATACATAACGAAAACGCATGTTTTGTTGTTTGTATTATCTTCTACCAGATCTAATGTGTTATATTATCCTACGTTAATTTGAAATTTCCACAAACTTCAAAGTGTTTCCTTTCAAATGGTATCAAGAATATGCATATCCTTGCTTCAGGTCCTGAGCTACAGGCAGATAGATTTGGGTATGTCAATTTAGGTGAAAATTGAAAAAAGGGTCCGATCCTTAAGACGTTAACTGCTGGCTACTCTTCTTCTGTGGCTTAACCCAACACAAAAGCTGTCTGGGTTTAAACATCTTCTATTGAACAGAAAGTGAATAGCTTAATCAATTGATAGTGACAGAATTAGATTACTTCCCAAGCAAAGTAACATTTTTGTCTCCTCAGCTATACAAGGATGTAGCTCAGCCTCTGAATGTCAAATAAATCAAACTGATATCCCATGTGCATCGGAGCATCGCGGATCAAAGTGTTGTTATAGATCACTTTATACAGTGCCTTCAGAAAGTATTCACACCCCTTTACTTTTTCCATATTTTGTTGCGTTACAGCCTGAATTTCAAATGGATTACATTGAAATTTTTGTCACTGGCCTACACATAATGCCCCATAATGTCAAAGTGTATTATTATTTTTTGTGTGCGTCAATAAGTATTCAACCCCTTTGTTATGGCAAGCCTAAATAAGTTCAGGAGTAAAAATGTGCTTAACAAGTCACATAATAAGTTGCACGGACTCACTCTGTGTGCAATAATAGTGTATCAATGCACCCAGTCACTACAAAGATACATGCGTCCTTCCTAACTCAGTTCCCAGAGAGGAAGGAAACCACTCAGGGATTTCACCATGAGGCCAATGGTGACTTTAAAACAGTTACAGAGTTTAATGGCTGTGATAGGAGAAAACTGAAAGATGGATCAATAACATTGTAGTTACTCCACAATATTAACCTAATTGACAAATTGAAAAGAATGAAGCCTGTATAGAATAAAATATATTCCAAAACATGCATCCTGTTTGCAACAAGGCACTAAAATCATTCCTGCAAAAAATGTGGCAAAGCAATTTCTTTTTTCTTTTTTTTTCTTCCTGAATACAAAATGGTATGTTTGGGGCAAATCCAATATTACACATTAGTGAGTGCACTAGTCATCCCTTACTGTACTCCGAACATCCAACTTCAACTGAAAGACAGAAGACAGTTAAACTCATAATAATGTTTTTAAATCCAATACCCCACTCTGTTAACTCGCATTATTCTTGCAATACAGACGTAGGATCTTAATTTGATCACCCTGTTGTTGCATCCATTTAGGACAGAATGTGTTTTGAGGATGCAAGTGTCTGTACTGCGCTGCACAGTCTTCAGTGTGTGTGTGCGTTGGGATGTAAATCCTTCGTGTTTCCTGTGAAGTAGAAGTACATTCACTCTGTTCAGAGGCTTGGGATGTAATGGAGCGCTAGATGCTTACAGATAGAGGATCAGCTGCACATCTCTCCCTCTCTCTCCTCCTACTTTTCTCTCTCACTCATTCTCTCTCCTCCTACTTTTCTCTCTCACTAATCTCTCACTCATTCACTCTCCTCTCACTTTCTCCCGCCCTCTCTCACTGCTCCTCCCCCATGTGAGAGAGAAAGAGAGAGAGAGTAGAGAGCGAGAGATTAGTTGATGATCAGGGATCGGGAGCTGTGATGCGTGGCTGCTGCCATCTCTGTTGGCCAGTGTCACACACACACACACACACACACAGAGCTGATCCTCACTCACAGAGCGCTCTGCGACGTAGCGTCTCTACCATAGCCACACAACGCTAGCAGCTCCCAGCCTGTCCTCGTTGACCTCTGCACCTGGGACCCCCTAACAGCAGCAGCACCACAGGGACGTCTCCCTCCTCAACCCCAACCCCCCACCCCCCCCCCCCCCCCTCTTCACTCTATCATGGAGAAAGGGGAAGGCTTGCTGTCGCGACGGAGGGGTAAGTGCCAGGTGACTATCACCTGGAGTTTTTGTTTTTAAACCCCTTAGGGGTCTTCTCTCTCTCTACGCTGGGCTTACTTAGTCAGAGCCAGGCTGCTACCTCGTTATCCTGCGCAGCAAATGCTGCTGAACTAATATAATATATATAATATTTAGCAGTCGCTTTTATCCAAAGCGACTTAGTCATGTGTGCGTACATTTTTACGTATGGGTGGTCCCGGGAATCGAACCCAGAAACCCACTACCCTGGCATTACAAGCTACATGCTCTACCAACTGCGCTACAAAGGATATTTCTAAAAACATAACTCCACTGTGACATTATGGGGTATTGTGTGTAGATCAGTGACACAACATCTCAATTTTAATCCATTTTAAATTCAGGCTGTAACACAACAACATTTGGAAAAGGTCAAGGGGTGTGAATACTTTCTGTACTCATAGCACCTCTAGTAATTTAATAGGATCTCTATGTCATAAACCCTCAAAATTCCAGAATGGGGTGAAAATGGCAGCCATATTGGTCAGGGAGAAATCCAACCCAGTCTAATTGGAATGAATGGCAGTATTTTAAAACCGTTACAGAGTTTAATGGCTGTGATAGGAGTTACTCCACAATACTAACATAAATGACAGAGTGAAAAGAAGGAATCCTGTACAGAATACAAATATTCCAAAACGTGCATCCACTAAAGTAATCCTGCAAAAAATGTGGCAAAGAAATTACCTTTTTTGTCCTGAATACAAAAGCGTTATGTTTGGGGCAAATCCAACACAACACATCACTGAGTACCACTATTCATATTTCCAAGCATGGTGATGGCTGGACCATGTTATGGGTAAGCTTGTCATCGGCGAGCACTAGGGAGTTATTTAGGATAAAAAGAAACGGAATAGAGCTAAGCACAGGCAAAATCCTTGAGGAAAACCTGGTTCAGTCCGCTTTCCAACAGACAATGGAAGACAAATTCATCTTTCAGTAGGACAATTACCTAAAACACAAGGCCAGATATACACTGCAGTTGCTTACCAAGACGACATTGAATATTCCTGAGTGGCCTAGTTAAAGTTTTGACTTAAATCTATGGCAATACTTGAAAACGGCTGTCTAGCAATGATCAACAACCAACTTGACAGAGCTTGAAGAATTTCTTAAAGAATAATGGGCAAATATTGTACAATCCAGGTGTGCAAAGATCTTAGAGACTTACCCAGAAAGACTCATAGCTGTAATCGCTGCCAAAGGTGATTCAGTCATGTATTGATTCAGGGGGTTGAAGACTTATCTAATCAAGATATATCCGTTTTATTTTTCATGAATCTCTTTATTTTTATTTTATATTTTTTTTACTTTGACATTACAGAGTATTTTGTGTAGATCGCTGACAAAAAAATTACAATTAATCCCGCTTTGTAACACAAACAAAATGCGGGGGAAAGTCAAGGGGTGTAAATACTTTCTGAAGGAACTGTAAAAGTAAGTCGTGACATATCAGAAATTATAATTATGCTGTTTTAGGTTTGAGTGTGTTTATCTATAGTAGAAGTGAAGGTGGTGCGTTTTATTGCAGTCTCCTTCCGTCTTTCCAAACTTGGTATTTTAAGTGGATTTCTGTACTTGGTGTCTGTGTATTGGGCTTGAGTAGTAGTAAGGTGAGTTAAAGGGATTGAAGGAAGTACTTTCTGTTTCTCTCGTACCGTGAGCAATGTCAGGCTGACTAACGTTGAGGGGTGCTAGGCAGCTTTAATGTACAGAGCTGCCACCGAGGGGAGCTTAGCGGTTAAAAATACTGTGTGTGGCCATTTATTGCCATAGAGACTGAGATGCTTGGCTTCCCCATTAGTGCTACAACTACCTGATGTTCTGTCCCTCATAGGGGTTACAAAATTCCAGGAACTTTCAATAAATTGCCTGGTTTTCTTCCGAAATCCTGGTTGGAGGATTCCCGGAATCAGGAGGGAAGGAGCAGGAAATCCGGGATCCTCCAACCAGGATTTCTGGAAAACCAGGGACTTTATTCCAAGTTCCGGGAATTGTGCAACCCTAGTCACACATCACAGGTACACGGTTGTGAAGATGTTACATCTTAATTTGGTTGTCTTCTCTGTTTGAAGAAAGCAGAAATATTGTCTCGTTTTGCAGAGGGCCGTATCCTCTTTAGTGTTATCTGTGACCTCTGTACACAGGGATATACTACAAAGCACGATCAATGAGTTAGCCAGCTAACTTTGATTAACAACCAGAAATAATCACACATTTTGTGGTTCATTTAAGAAAGATAAACTTAGATAAGTGTTTTTGGTTATTAACTCAATTAAACCATGCCCATTTGAAACTTATCTTGTCAAAAATAGGAAGTTATTTCAGAATATTTAAGCTGGCTAACTCATTGATCCTACTTTGTAGTATGCCCCTCAAGTGTATGTTAGGCTAAGTCATGGCAGACGGATTGTTCCTCCGCGCGCCAATGATGTCACATCCTCTCTGTCTCTCAGGCTATTGTCTTCTCATGCGTGCCTGCTAGAGGTCAGGTGCAGAACGAGCTCGTCTTCTGCCTCGCTCACACATAGACACAGACAGGACCCTTCCTCTATCTCGTCACCCTCCTGTTCATACACACTCATCTACAGATGTAGGATCTTCATTTGACCAGTTTCTCACAGCATGAACATAATCCTGCAGCAACAGGAAATATGAATTATGTGTGTGGATCATAATGAATGGACATTTTTGTAAGTGTTAGATAACTGTTTAGTTAGGCCAAATCAAATGTTAGAAGCCTTTTTTGAACCTTGAATACACAAAAAGTTTGCATTTCCTGCTGTGCAGGATGTCACTTGTTAAATCCACTTCAAGCAGTGTAGATGAAGGGGAAGAGACAGGTTAAAGAAAGATTTTTAAGCCTTGAGACATGGATTGTGTATGTGTGCCATTGAGGGTGAATGGGCAAGACAAAACATTTAAGTGCCTTTGAACGACGTGTGGTAGTAGGTGCAAGGCGCACAAGTTTGTCAAGAACTGCAACACTGCTGGGTTTTTTCACACTAAACAGTTTCCCATATGTATCAAGCATGGTCCACCACCCAAAGGACATCCAGCCAACTTGACACAACTATGGGAAGCATTGGAGTCAACATGGGCCAGCATCCCTGTGGAACGCTTTCGACACCTTGTAAAGTCCATGCCCCGATGAATTGAGACTGTTCTGAGGGCAACGCAACTCAATATTAGGAAGGTGTTCCTAATGTTTGGTATACTCAGTGTATCTGGACAGTTTTCTCTTTAATCCTCCAATGAGGAGACTACAATGGCCTCCAGGAAGTTGTGTTTTATGAATAGGTGTCTCCTGTTGGAGAACTTTGGTTCGGTCTACAACCATTTACCGCAACAATGATCTTGTGAAATTTTCTTTTTCTGATTAGTCTCTAGAAGAGTCATCTCTGGAGTGTTACTTCCTGTTGGCTCCACATTGGCTACTCAGAGCCTCCATCAACTCAACCTAGTTTTAGAGTGTATTCTTTGCACAGCATTGCTTCAAACAAACACACATTATCCTTACTACACATTTACTATTGGGTAAATTAAGCTTAATTATGGCCTCTTTTTTTGTGCTGTATACAGTAGACTTTGTTGCCATTCTTCAGAATAGATCATTGGTTAGGGTTTACACAACCTTCAGCAATGGCACAACAGGAAGACTAGTGAGCAACATGTGAGAATGAGTCAACCCAAGAAACAGCCTGTTATTTCCAGAACCTGGTCCTTCAGTGTCTGGCACTCGGGTCGTTGTTCCGAAAGCGAATGTGTTCTCAGCAAACCTGGTTGAATAAAGGCAATGCGGTTGACGTGCTTCATATCGGGAGTCTGATGCCCTGATCAAAACTCTAGTTAAATGGACATGGCAGCCACTGCTATATTCCTGTATATCATTAGGCAAGTACAACTTCTCTGATTGGATGGACTGGGATTGCGTGGGTAGAGCTGTGTGCACCATTGAGAGCATCTTGACTGGCTGCTTCACCACTTGGTATGGCAACTGCGTGGCATTCGACTGCAAGGTGCTACAGGGGGTAGTGTGTACGGCCCAGTACATCACTGGGGCCAAGCTTCCTGCCATCCAGGACCTCTATACCAGGCGGTGTCAGAGGAAGGCCCTACAAATTGTCAGACTCCAGTCACCCAACTCATAATCTGTTCTCTCTGCTGCCGCACAGCAAGTGGTACGATGCACCAAGTCTGGAACCAACAGGACCCTGAACAGCTTCTACCCACAAGCCATAAGACTGATAAATAGTTAGTCCAGGTAGCTATTGGTTAACTATTTAACTATCTGCATTGACCCTTTTTGCACTAATTATTTTGACGCATCATGTACGCTGATGGTACTGTTTTATCTATCCTGTTGCCTAGTCACTTTGTCCCTACCTATACAGTGCATTCGGAAAGTATTCAGACCCCTTGACTTTTTCCACATTTTGTTATGTTACAGCCTTATACTAAAATAGATTAAATAGTTTTTTTCCCTCATCAATCTACACACAATACCCCATCATGACAAAGCAAAAACAGGTTTTTATAAATTTGTGCAAATTTATAAAAAATATATATCCCATTTACATAACTATTCAGACCCTTTACTCAGTACTTTGTTGAAGAAACTTTGGCAGCGATTACAGCCTTGAGTCTTCTTGGGTATGACGCTACAAGATTGGCACACCTGTATTTGGAGAGTTTCTCCCATTCTTCTCTGCAGATCCTCTCAAGTTCTGTCAGGTTGGATGGGGAGCGTTGCTGCACAGCTATTTTCAGGTCTCTCCAGAGATGTTAGATCGGGTTCAAGTCCGGGCTCTGGCATGGCCACTCAAGGACATTCAGAGACTTGTCCCGAAGCCACTCCTGCGTTGTCTTGCCTGTGTGCTTAGGGTCATTGTCCTGTTGGAAGGTGAACCTTCGCCCCAGTCCGAGGTCCAGAGTGCTCAGGACTTCATCAAGGATCTCTCTGTACTTTGCTCCATTCAACTTTCCCTCGATCCTGACTAGTCTCCCAGTCCCTGCCGCTGAAAAACATCCCCACAGCATGATACTGCTACCACCATGCTTCACCGTAGGGATGGTGCCAGGTTTCCTCCAGACATGACGCTTTGCATTCTTGGTTTCATCAGACCAGAGAATCTTGTTTCTCAGAGTCTTTTAGGTGCCTTTTGGCAAACTCCACGCGGGATGTCATGTGCCTTTTACTGCAGACATGATTGTCATTCTGGAAGGTTCTCAGATTCTGGAAGGTTCTTGGTCACCTCCCTGACCAAGGCCCTTCTCCTCTGATTGCTCAGTTTGGCCAGGCAGCCAGCTCTAGGAAGAGTCTTGGTGGTTCCAAACTTATTCCATTTAAGAATCATGGAGGCCACTGTGTTCTTGGGGACCTTCAATGCTGCAGAAATATTTTGGTACCTTTCCCCAGATCTGTGCCTCGACACAATCCTGTCTCGGAGCTCTACGGACAATTCCTTCGACCTCATGGCTTGGTTTTTGCTCTGACATGCACTGTCAACTGTGGGACCTTATATAGACATGTGTGTACCTTTCCAAATCATGTCCAATCAATTGAATGTCCCACAGGTGGAATCCAATTAAGTTGTAGAAACATCTCAAGGATGATCAATGGAAACAGGACGCACCTGAACTCAATTTTGAGTCTCATAGGAAAGGCTCTGAATACTTATGTAAATAAGGTATTTCTGTTTTTAATTTTTTATACATTTGAAAAAATTATAAAAACCTGTTTTTGCTTTGTCATTAACGGGTATTGTGTGTAGATTAATGAGGAACATTTTAAATTTAATCCATTTTAGAATCAGGCTGTAAGGTAACAAAATGTGGAAAAAGGGAAGGGGTCTGAATATTTTCCGAATGCTCTGTATGTACATATCTACCTCAATTACCTCATACCCCTGCACATTGACTCGGTAGTGGTGTCCTGTGTATGTAGCCAAGTTATCGGTACTCATTGTGTATTTATTATTTTTGTCATTTTTCTATTATTTCTATTTGATTCTCTCTGCGTTGTTGGGAAGTGCCCGTAAGTAAGCATTTCACTGTTTACACCTGTTGTTTACCGAACATGTGAAATTTAAAATTTGATTTGATACACCTTGTAAGTTGAACTGTATCAATTCACCTTTGACTTTAAAGCTCTGTTGCCTTACTGAGGAATACATTCCGTTGTTGCTGTTAAGGCCTAATGATTTGGGTGAAACTGCGTTGGTTTTATTTTGTGGACAGTGGTTTGCTGTTGCCTGATACTAATGGTTATCCCATGGTTTTTGAGGGGCTGTTTAGAATGGAGGTTTAGGTAAGGGAGCATTGGTTGTATGCCTGCGTCCACAGCATCAGTAAGATGTTTGCTTCACTATTTGAGAGTTGTGACTGGGATAGGCCTAACTGTTGGGTCTTCTCATTCCACACACACACACACACACACACACACAGACACAGACACACACACACACAGACACACAGACACACACACAGACACACACACACAGACACACACACACACACACACACACACACACACACACACACACACACACACACACACACACACACACAGGGATCTATGTAAGAATCGTATATTTCTATGGGGAAGACACTCAACCGCTTAACCGCCCACTGCTTGGTTAGCTTGTTTAGTGCATGGCGATGCTCTGTGGTTGTTTGACCTTTTACACTTTGACGTAGAGAAACATCAATGAAACTATACAGTCACAGACCAAGAGAACACGCTGAAAATGGCACCGCGTGGTTCCCATATGTTCTGTCAGAGCTGACCTGGGTCAGGGCATGGCGTGTGAACGATTGTTGTGCACAGATTTAGGGAAGAAAGCTGAGAATTTGGGTTTTCTTCTTGAGCAGCTGGCACACAACATCTCTGCAGAGAATAACAACCGTCAGCCCAATCAGTGGCTATGGCAGACTCTTTCCCGACTCGCACCCCTTCAGAACTGTGTGGGTTTCTCCGCGCGCTCTGACGAAGCTCGAGAGAGATCTCGAGCGCGCGCTACGGCGCATGATCAGAGCGCGAGAGCGGAGGGCGAGCGCGGAGGCGGCGCGCGCGCGCGCGAGCGGCGCACGCGGCGCGAGACGCGCAGCGAGCGCGCGAGAGGAAGAGCGACGAGAGAGCGCGCGCGCGCGAGCAGCGAGACAAGGAGCCGCGAGACATCGAAGCGCGCGCGAGCTAAATCGCCTCTCTCGCGCGAGAGCGGCGCTCGATCGTAGCGCGCGTAGAGCAGAGCGAGGAGAGCGCGAGAGCGAGCGAGCGCGAGGGCGCGCGAGCACCGCGCGCGCGCGCAGAGCGGAGCGCGCAGACCAGCGAGAGACGACGCGAACGCGCGCGAGGCGAGAACCGCCGAGCCGCGAGCGGAGAGCGCTCTACCTCTCCTCTGCTCGAGATCTAGAGACGCCTAGAGAGCGATCGCAATCTCTACCTCTCTCGTCTTCTCTCTATCTCTCTCTCTTGTTTCTCTCTCTCTCTCGCTCTCTCTCTCTCTCTACTCTCTCTCTACTCTCTACCTCTCTCTCTCTTTTTCTCTCTTTCTCTTTCTCTCTCTCTCTCTCTCTCTCGCTCTCTCTCTCTCTCGCTCTCTCTCTCTACAGCTAGTTATCTAATTTGAAGAGGTCTATTGTCTGGCTTGGAGTAGCTGCCTACCTTGAAAAGGGATGAAAGGCAGGTATGACGGCAGCAATGACGCGCCCACATGTCTGTAAACTAGGACACCATCTTGGCCCGTGGTAGGCTAGCCTATGTGAAACTGGACCGTGTCTCCTGGGACGTTTCCATACAGCGCCCTCCCCACCCCCTCCTCCTTCACCGACCTACACACACACACTGTTCACTCACAAATACACACGCATACACACCCACACACTCTTCATTTATTGTCAAGGCTAGACACTCGATGCTCCTCCACCTCCTCACCTTTACTCACTCAAACATTGACCCCCCCCCCCCCCCCCCCGCCCCCCCCGTGCCTCTGCTAATACACTCCAGACAGTGAGCTAGAACCCCCAGACAGACTAACAGACGCATAGAGAGTGAACATTCATAGCATGGTGATCTCATTGTCATCGGAGTGATGCTCCTGTGGCCTTTCAGCTCCCTGCACATGGATCCATCCTGTGAGTGGCAGAGATCAGTGTGGATTTCTTTGGCAAAGGTGAGGAGGTGTTGATGCTCCTGTGGTGGACTTTGGATCTCTTCACCTGCTGTGTTGTCGGCTGTGATGTCTGACGATAGGACATCATCCAGGGATTCTACAGCTTCATTGGCATAGGTCCAGCTGCAGTACATTTATGGCTCTGGGAAACGGAGAATTGGTACAATACAGGATTGTTGACCTGAAACGTTGAAGGTGTTCTTTTTAATATGGATTGGCTTGAATAATAAATATTTAATTGTCTCTCAGCAATAGGTCAGTGCAATTTGTACTTTCACTTCCCGTAGGTCATATGACTTCCTGCTATTTGGTGCCGTAAATAGTTGCTATTATCTCCCGTTGTAAAAGGAATCCAGACTTCAATGAATCCTGCTGGATCACTCCTCCATTGACATCTTTACACAGTGTTCCACTTGGTATGCGGCAATTACTAAAGCACCACACTAAGACTAGCCACAGCACACAGGAATTAAACCTTGGTTCAAAAGGGGATTTGATGACGTTGGGATTTAGCATCATTAAAGCCAACGATTTATCTGTAGCGTGTGCTGTGTGTCAGAGCGAGAGTGTGACGTGGATTCGCTGCCCCTTGCCTCGGACGCCGCCACAGATTTACTCACATTCACTATATTTATGGTATCCCTTCCCCACACACATGATCCATTTATTCACCATCATCTCTTTTCTCTTTGCTCTGCGTTCAAAGCCCCCTATGGGGACGTACTGACTCTCTCTACGATTACCACAGGGCTTAGGCTGCAAGACTTTTTATTCCCAGCAGCTGGATCAAGTAGCAAAAGTTACACAGGTGAAAGCACACAGCAGTCAAATGTCACACTCCACCAGGTCCATATGAATGAATGAATTTGGCTGACTCATATAATCACAAATGGGTGTGGAAAGGAGACGCTCTGGCTATCGGGTGTGTTGAAACAGGAGTCACTCTGGCTATCAGGTGTGTTGAAACAGGAGTCGCTCTGGCTATCAGGTGTGTTGAAACAGGAGTCACTCTGGCTATCAGGTGTGTTGAAACAGGAGTCGCTCTGGCTATCAGGTGTGTTGAAACAGGAGTCGCTCTGGCTATCGGGTGTGTTGAAACAGGAGTCACTCTGGCTATCGGGTGTGTTGAAACAGGAGTCACTCTGGCTATCAGGTGTGTTGAAACAGGAGTCACTCTGGCTATCGGGTGTGTTGAAACAGGAGTCACTAGCTATCAGGTGTGTTGAAACAGGAGTCACTGGCTATCAGGTGTGTTGAAACAGGAGTCACTCTGGCTATCAGGTGTGTTGAAACAGGAGTCACGCTGGCTATCAGGTGTGTTGAAACAGGAGTCGCTCTGGCTATCGGGTGTGTTGAAACAGGAGTCAATCTGGCTATCAGGTGTGTTGAAACAGGAGTCGCTCTGGCTATCGGGTGTGTTGAAACAGGAGTCGCTCTGGCTATCAGGTGTGTTGAAACAGGAGTCACTCTGGCTATCAGGTGTGTTGAAACAGGAGTCACTCTGGCTATCAGGTGTGTTGAAACAGGAGTCACGCTGGCTATCAGGTGTGTTGAAACAGGAGTCGCTCTAGCTATCGGGTGTGTTGAAACAGGAGTCACTCTGGCTATCGGGTGTGTTGAAACAGGAGTCGCTCTAGCTATCGGGTGTGTTGAAACAGGAGTCACTCTGGCTATCGGGTGTGTTGAAACAGGAGTCACTCTGGCTATCGGGTGTGTTGAAACAGGAGTCACTCTGGCTATCGGGTGTGTTGAAACAGGAGTCACTAGCTATCAGGTGTGTTGAAACAGGAGTCACTGGCTATCAGGTGTGTTGAAACAGGAGTCACTCTGGCTATCAGGTGTGTTGAAACAGGAGTCACTCTGGCTATCGGGTGTGTTGAAACAGGAGTCGCTCTGGCTATCGGGTGTGTTGAAACAGGAGTCACGCTGGCTATCGGGTGTGTTGAAACAGGAGTCACTCTGGCTATCAGGTGTGTTGACACATGGCCTCTTCGTAGCGCTGTGCGTAGGCCTGTGGTATCTAGTCATCTAGTCGCTATCTAGTACACTAGTCCGCGTACTCAAAACATTTGCTGCTCTGCAGAATGCTGGGTAAAGTGCCGGCTCGGCTCACAGTTTGGTGCTAGAACGTTGTGGCCAGGCACATGAAACCGCCACCTTCCAGTCTGCTGTGTGTTGATATATGAGCCCCCACAAGAGGAAAGGTTACACTATTAGCCTTTGAAAACTGCATTGTCATTAGCTAAGGTAGCATTTTCAGGACTTCCTCCTTTAGATTCAAGATATGGGATGAATTATGCCTGCATATTTAAGATGACTCTTTAATTGTTGCAAGGTGAGCAATGTAGAGCATTGTATTGTAAAATATCTTGAGTAGTGATTTGCCTAATGCGATTGAGTAGGTCCTAAAACATCTTATCAACCCTGTCTGAGGTAATGTTATTTAGCATTACATAATCCTAAGCTTGAGTCATTTGCTACAGTTGCCTCTCATTTTCTTTGATTGTTATGACAAGTCGGCTTTAAGGCCTGGTTGGCGTTTTAACACAGACCAAACCAACTCATTCCCCTTCATTCTGTAGTTTTCGCTCTGTTGATACTATCAGCTAGCCAGACTGCCGCTAACACTAAAACACAGCAGATTTGAAATGAGAGACTACAGTAACTCAATAGGAATGATCTCCACTTGGCACTGCCGCTGCCCTCCGTAGCGGTGGTAGTTTTAGTATTTTATTGACATTCTATTTTCTTCAGGTTTTTAAGCATTAGTCAAATCTAGTCTGTTTTTAGCCTCCGACCCAATGTAATCAATGGAAATGTAAACCATGAGGAGGATATGTGTTCTACTCCATTACAAGCTGTAATAGCTGGATCAATGAACTATTACCACCAGAGTGTAGACATCCATCAACATTATGGCCCTTCACGTCCCATTACAGAACAACTCTGGGTCTGACCTGAAACTCACTGAAGGGACAGTTGGAGTCGTTGTGTTGTCTTCCAAACAAACTAGTTGGTTATTTCTTCTGATTTAATGTTGACCTCTGGTTAACGGCCAGTTCATCTACTCTAATGTCAACCATTTACTTCCCTCAGCCGAACAGTCACTTTAATCTTTTCTCTTCCACTTGACTACAAAGGAGGCTTGTTTTTTTCACAAACGGTCTCTTCTGCTTCCTCTAGGTGACGGCATGCCAAAGGAAAGCAGTCCGTTCATAAACAACACAGAACATGACAAAGGGAATCTATACGATGGGAAGAACATGGCCCTCTTCGAGGTAACTGTCAACATCCAATACCCTTGATTTATAGATAATGTTATCTGTGGTGTATTTAATATGACCTTTGACCTAGGCTGTTGATGATGGGTTAAATGTGAAGAAAGGGGCGTTCCCTGTCATGCCTATGCTCTCTGGGGTAGCGAGCCCTTATACTAAATCCTATTAATAATGTGAATTATGGACTATGAAATCTATTTCTACTTCTCTACTATAATTCACTCCAGCAAAACTATTCCAAATCTTATTTGATTTGTGTACAATTTTTACATTCCTCTGGATCATTTCACCCACCACTCCTCCTGTTATGAGGGTTATTTCACTGACCCTTATGCAGAGAGCATGCATGCATGCATGCCAAGATGTGTTAGGACACTTTTTTGTGTTAAGGTCTTTGTTTTGCTTCACAGGAAGAGATGGACAGCAACCCCATGGTGTCCTCGCTGCTCAACAAGTTGGCCAACTACACCAACCTCACCCAGGGGGTCAAAGAGCACGAGGAAGCAGATGATGACGAGGGGCCAGCCAAGAGTAAGAAACCAGTCAAGGTGTGGACAACAATGTTTTTCAATTCCAGATACACTTTTAGTGACACAAGTCAACTTCTAAGCACAACAGACTCCTACACTCTGATAGTGGTGATAATGACAAGGCAAATATAATCCTCCCAACGTGTGGGTGTTCTCCAGTGTGGAGGAAATAGCCTGGCTTAGACTGTCCGTATATAGGACAGCCCATTGTTTCAAGTCTATAAATGTCCTCACTTGGTTAGTGTATCCCATCTTACATATTTACTGTTGATTTAATGGTGCCCTTTAAAAACTGCTGAATAAATGATTCCAGAACAGGGTCTTTGACCAGAGCAAACATTCAGTGTGCAGCACGAAGGACATGTAAACATGCTCACTTTGTTTGCCTGCGTGAGCTACAGTGTAATTGATCATTGTTGGCTTTATATTTTTTATGCTTCAAGCAAGCCACCACTACACCCTCCCCTAAAGCCACCACCACACCCTCCCCTAAAGCCACCACCACACCCTCCCATAAAGCCACCACCACACCCTATCCCCTAAAGCCACCACCCACACCTCCCTATACAGCCACCACTACACCCTCCCCTAAATCCACCACCACCACCCTTCCCATAAATCCACCCACCAACCATCCCCCTAAAGCCCACCACCACCACCCTCCCCTAAAGCCAACACCCTCCTTAAAGCCACCAACTACACCCTCCCCTAAATCCCACCACCAACACCCTCCCATAAAGGCCACACTCCACCCCTCCACTACATCCACCACCACATCCTCCCCTAAAGCCAACCACCACAACCCTCCCCAATTAATAGCCGACACCACTTTACACCCTTCCCATGAAAGCCCACACCCACACCCTCCCCTAAGCCCACCACCACAACCCTCCCCTAAAGCCACCACCACACCCTCCCATGAAAGCCACCAACCACACCCTCCCATTAAACGCCACCCCCCACGCCTCCCATAAAGCCACACACTTACACCCCTTCCCCCTCTAAGCCACCCCCACTAACCCCCTCCCCTCAATCCACCACTTACACCCCTCCCATAAAGCCACCACCACACCCTCCCATAAAGCCACCACCACACCCTCCCCTAAAGCCACCACCACACCCTCCCCTAAAGCCACCACCACACCCTCCCATAAAGCCACCACCACACCCTCCCCTAAAGCCACCACTACACCCTCCCATAAAGCCACCACTACACCCTCCCATAAAGCCACCACTACACCCTCCCCTAAAGCCACCACCACACCCTCCCATAAAGCCACCACCACACCCTCCCATAAAGCCACCACCACACCCTCCCATAAAGCCACCACTACACCGTCCAATAAAGGCATCACACCAACACAACATCAAAAACACATGCATCTCATATTTCTCACAGAAAGTTGATGTCTTGTGGAAGTGTGGCCAAAATAGCAAGTAGTGAATGCAGGTCTGTGTCCGAAATGTTACCCTATTGATACACCACCAGAGCTATATACAGTGAGGGGGGAAAAGTATTTGATCCCCTGCTGATTTTGTACGTTTGCCCACTGACAAAGACATGATCAGTCTATAATTTTAATGGTAGGTCTATTTGAACAGTGAGAGACAGAATAACAACAACAAAATCCAGAAAAACGCATGTCAAAAATGTTATAAATTTATTTGCATTTTAATGAGGGAAATAAGTATTTGACCCCTCTACAAAACATGACTTAGTACTTGGTGGCAAAACCCTTGTTGGCAATCAGAGGTCAGACGTTTCTTGTAGTTGGCCACCAGGTTTGCACACATCTCAGGAGGGATTCTGTTCCACTCCTCTTTGCAGATCTTCTCCAAGTCATTAAGGTTTCGAGGCTGATGTTTGGCAACTCGAACCTTCAGCTCCCTCCACAGATTTTCTATGGGATTAAGGTCTGGAGACTGGCTAGGCCACTCCAGGACCTTAATGTGCTTCTTCTTGAGCCACTCCTTTGTTGCGTTGGCCGTGTGTTTTGGGTCATTGTCATACTGGAATACCCATCCACGACCCATTTTCAATGCCCTGGCTGAGGGAAGGAGGTTCTCACCCAAGATTTGACGGTACATGGCCCCGTCCATCGTCCCTTTGATGCGGTGAAGTTGTCCTGTCCCCTTAGCAGAAAAACACCCCCAAAGCATAATGTTTGTCGGAGGGGATGGTGTTCTTGGGGTCATAGGCAGCATTCCTCCTCCTCCAAACACGGCGAGTTGAGTTGATGCCAAAGAGCTCCATTTTGGTCTCATTTGACCACAACACTTTCACCCAGTTCTCCTCTGAATCATTCAGATGTTCATTGGCAAACTTCAGACGGCCCTGTATATGTGCTTTCTTGAGCAGGGGGACCTTGCGGGCGCTGCAGGATTTCAGTCCTTCACGGCGTAGTGTGTTACCAATTTTTTTTTGGTGACTATGGTCCCAGCTGCCTTGAGATCATTGACAAGATCCTCCCGTGTAGTTCTGGGCTGATTCCTCACCGTTCTCATGATCATTGCAACTCCACAAGGTGAGATCTTGCATGGAGCCCCAGGCCAAGGGAGATTGACAGTTATTTTGTGTTTCTTCCATTTGCGAATAATCGCACCAACTGTTGTCACCTTCTCACCAAGCTGCTTGGCGATGGTCTTGTAGCCCATTCCAGCCTTGTGTAGGTCTACAATCTTGTCCCTGACATCTTTGGAGAGCTCTTTGGTCTTGGCCATGGTGGAGAGTTTGGAATCTGATTGATTGTTTGCTTCTGTGGACAGGTGTCTTTTATACAGGTAACAAGCTGAGATTAGGAGCACTCCCTTTAAGATTGTGCTCCTAATCTCAGCTCGTTACCTATATAAAAGACACCTGGGAGCCAGAAATCTTTCTGATTGAGAGGGGGTCAAATACTTATTTCCCTCATTAAAATGCAAATCAATTTATAACATTTTTGACATGCGTTTTTCTGGATTTTTTTGTTGTTATTCTGTCTCTCACTGTTCAAATAAATGTACCATTAAAATTATAGACTGATCATTTCTTTGTCAATGGGCAAACGTACAAAATCAGCAGGGGATCAAATACTTTTTTCCCTCACTGTATGAGATAGGGTGCCAGGTCTGGGGCTCCTGAGTGGCGCAGTGGTCTAAGGCACTGCATCACAGTGCTAACTGTGCCACTAGAGATCCTGGTTCGAATCCAGGCTCTGTCGCAGCCGGCCGCGACCGGGAGACTCATGGGCGACGCACAATTGGCCCAGCGTTGTCCAGGGTAGGGGAGGGAATGGCCGGCAGGGATGTAGCTCAGTTGATAGAGTATGGCGTTTGCAACGCCAGGGTTGTGGGTTCGATTCCCACGGGGGGCCAGTATAAAAAAAAAAATGTATTCACTAACTGTAAGTCGCTCTGGATAAGAGCGTCTGCTAATTGACTAAAATGTAAATGTAAAAAATGTCTGCGTGTGTTGCGTAATAGACCGAGCAAAGTACCTCCTCCTGAGACCGTGTGATAGTTGAAGGGGCCTGTGGGTCCTTGGGGTGAAAGCATGATTTATAATCATTCAAGCAATCTATTTTTCTACTGGGCTGAATTTATTTGGTGTTCTGTTGCTTTATCTGGTGCTGTTTATCTGGTGTTGTCCTTTTAAGAACACAAGGCCTCATTCTCTTACATATGTCTGACACAAACAACCCAGGCCTTCTATACGTCTCCTCCCACAGTTCCAGCCTGGAGAAACCTTTTATTAAGTTGTTGTTGTCCTACACCAGTTTGTTGCTTAAAATCCAAAGAAAATACCCACTGTCCAACAATGTTTTCCAAGTTGTGCGGGAATTCCACAGTAACCACAAACCCTTTCCCATGCCAGTTGCCCCATCACATTTTCTGCACGGAGACCAGATGGGCATCTCCAATTGGTCTCAAGAGTGCCTAGGATGGAGCGAAAGGGGGCAAAGTTGACACCTCTTTCCTGTCCTCCCCTCTCGGACCACGATCAGTGGGACTTTCCTTTTGGTTTAGATTGAGAGATGGTCAAAAAGGTAGCTACCACTTTGGACAAATAGGGGATGGTACTCTATTGGGACAATTTTAACAATTGTGGTGCCCCCTTTATGAGCTGTTTGCGAAACTTCCCTTTTGATGGAATGGACCTGTGAGGGTGATGCCTGTGATACAAGTTCTGGAAAGTTCCATCACGGTACAGGGTGGGACTGTTTGCTTCACTGTACATTTATTGGAGTATCGATGGTGGATTTGGGATGCCTTGCCCTTCAGATTTAATTCTAAATGTCCTTTTTCTAGAACTTTTGAAATTATAGAGTTGCTATGAGGTTAAAATACAGACTGTCAGCTTTAATTTGAGGGTATTTCCATCCATGTCAGGTGAACCGTTTAGAAATTACAGCACTTTTTGTACATAGTCCCAACATTTTAGGGGACCAAAAGTATTGGGACAAATTCACTTATGTGTATTAAAAGTAGTAAAAAGTTAAGTATTTGGTCCCATATCCAAGTGGGGTAACATCCACAGCAAGAACCGGCAAATCTGGTGCAGTCCATGAGGAGGAGAAGCACTGCAGTACTTAATGCAGCTGGTGGCAACACCAGATACCTTTGTTCAGGGACACATTATTCAATTTCTGTTAGTCACGTGTCTGTGGAACTTGTTCAGTTTATGTCTCAGTTGTTGAATCTTATGATCATACAAATATTTACACATGTTAAGTTTGCTGAAAATAAACGCAGTTGACAGTGAGATGACGTTTCTTTTTTTTTGCTGAGTTTATTATACATTTCTTTCAGCCAATCATCAGTCATTTGTGTCATTGCATTACATGTTGAGTGCCCTTCTCTATAAGCATGCTGAAAGCCTGATGTTAATGGTTCATGAAAAGAAACCTGTGTTCAAGCTATAATGACTAGAGTCCCTTTTTTAGTAAAAGCATTTTCTGATGCTTTTCGCTCGTTGTGCATTTTGTTCTAATAGGCAGTGGGTGGGATGTTGGCTAGCCCAGCATTCTGAGCAATATGATAGTTAGGTGGTACGCTATGGTGGTGGATGGGATTACCAATATACAGTGCATTCAGAAAGTATTCAGACCCCTTCACTTTTTCCACATTTTGTTTTATTTTACAATCTACACACAATACCCCATAATGACAAAGTGCAAACAGGTTTTTTAGAAATTATTGCAAATTAATTACAAAATAAAAAACAGAAATACCTTATTTACATAAGTATTCAGACCCTTTGCTATGAGACTTGAAATTGAGCTCAGGTGCATCCTGTTTCCATTGATCAACCTTGAGATGTTTCTACAACTTGATTGTAGTCCATCTGTGGTAGTTTGAATTGATTGGACATGATTTGGAAAGACACACACCTCTCTATACACTGTGTGCACAATTATTAGGCAAGTTGTATGTTTGAGGATTAATTTTATTATTGAACAACTACAGTGCTCTCGGTCAATCCAAAATGTTAATAAACCTCAAACCTGAATATTTAAGAAAGTAAAAGTGAGGTTTTGGCTTTCTTTGGAGAATATATATGTGTGCACAATTATTGGGCAACTAAATGAAAAACAAAAAGTTCCCCATCTCACTTGTTTATTTTCATCTGTTAAAGTGAGAATAATAAACAAACAACTCCAAATGTACAAATAAACATTTTTAAAAAAAATCAGTGACCAATATAGCCACCCTTCTTTTCAATAACAGTCATAAGCCTTCCATCCATGGAGTCTGTCAGTTTCTTGATCTGTTGACGATCAACTTTTTGTGCAGCAGCAACCACAGCCTCCCAGACACTGGTCAGAGAGGTGTACTGTTTTACTTCACCGTAAATCAACCGTTTAAGGAGGGACCACAAGTTCTCAATAGGGTTTAGGTCAGGTGAGGAAGGGGGCCATGTCATTATTCTTTCATCTTTAAGGCCTTTACTGGCTAGCCACGCAGTGGAGTACGATGCATGCGATGGAGCTTTGTCCTGCATAAAAATCATGGTCTTCTTGAAAGATGCAGACTTTTTCCTGTACCACTGCTTGAAGAAAGTGTCTTCTAAAAACTGGCAGTAGGTTTGGGAGTTGAGTTTGAGTCCATCTTCAACCCGAAAAGGTCCAACTAGCTCATCTTTAATAATACCAGCCCATACCAGTACCCCACCTCCACCTTGCTGGCGTCTGAGTCGAAGTGGAGCTCCGTGCCCGTTACTAGAATATGACAGCACTGGAGGATAATGGGTTCCTGGTAGCTTCACGTTTGATTCTTCTCAAATCCTTGGCAGTTAATTTGCGTCTTTTTTTCTCAACACGGTTCTTGCGACCCTGTTGACTATTTGCAACAAAACGTTTGATGGTTCTGTGATCACGCCCCAATATCTTAGCAATTTCAAGAGTGCTGCATCCCTCTGAAATACTTTTTACAATTTGTGACTTTTCAGAGTCAGTTAAATCTATTTTTTGGCCCATTTTGCCTGAGGAAAAGAAGCTGCCTAATAATTATACACACCTTGATATAGGGTGTTGATCTCCTTAGGCCACACCCTCCCTCATTACACAAAGACACATCACCTGATACGCTTAAATCCAATAAGCATTCCAGTTTATACAGCTTGGAGTTGGGAAATATGCATAATAATGATGATATGGTCAAAATACTGACTTGCCTAATAATTGTGCACACAGTGTATAAGGTCCCACAGTTGACAGTGCATGTCAGAGCAAAAACCAAGCCATGAGGTCGAAGGAATTGTCCGTAGAGCTCCGAGACAGGATTGTGTCGAGGCACAGATCTGGGGAAGGGTACAAAAACATTTCTGCAGCATTGAAGGTCCCCAAGAACACAGTGGTCTCCATTCTTAAATGGAAGAAGTTTGGAACCACCAAGACTCTTCCTAGAGCTGGCAGCCTGGCCAAACTGAGCAATCGGGGGAGAAGGGCCTTGGTCAGGGAGGTGACCAAGAACCCAATGGTCACTCTGACAGAGCTCCAGAGTTCCTCTGTGGAAATGGGAGAACCTTCTAGAAGGACAACCATCTCTGCAGCACTCCACCAATCAGGCCTTTATGGTAGAGTAGCCAGACGGAAGCCACTCCTCAGTAAAAGGCACATGACAGCCCGCTTGGAGTTTGCCAAAAGGCACCTAAAGGACTCTGACCATGAGAAAGAAGATTCTGTGGTCTGATGAAACCAAGATTGAACTATTTGGCCTGCATGCCAAGCGTCACATCTGGAGGAAACCAGCCACCGCTCATCACCTGGCCAAAACCATCCCTACGGTGAAGCATGGTGGTTGCAGCAACATGCTGTGGGGATGTTTTTCAGCGGCAGGGACTGGGAGACTAGATGAACGCAGCAAAGTACAGAGTGATCCTTGATGAAAACCTTCCAACGGGACAACAACCCTAAGCACACAGCCAAGACAACGCAGGAGTGGCTTCGGGGACAAGTCTCTGAATGTCTTTGTGGCCCAGCCATAGCCGGGACTTGAATCCAATCAAACATCTCTGGAGAGACCTGAAAATAGCTGTGCAGCGACGCTCCCCTTCCAACCTGACAGAGTTTGAGAGGATCTGCAGAGAAGAATGGGAGAAACTCGCCAAATACAGGTGTGCCAAGCTTGTACCATCATACCCAAGAAGACTTGAGGCTGTAATTGGTGCCAAAGGTTCTTTCAATAAATTTCAAAAACCTGTTTTTTTCTTTGTCATTATGGGTTATTGTGAGTAGATTGATGAGGGGGGAAAAAACAATTTAATCCATTTTAGAATAAGGCTGTAACGTAACAAAATGTGGAAAAAGTCAAGGGGTCTGAATACTTTCCGAATGCACTGTATAATGTAAAGTGTCATGACACCTAATGAAAAGCAATTTCTTAAATGTAATCTATAAATAATTACTAGTTGACGCTTGAGACACAATCACGCCGTCTGTTGGTTGAAGGATTGATAACTGACTACTTATTGACCTCCTGCGCTCTCTCCTTCTCATCGCTCCCTCCTCTCACTCTCCTCTCACTCTCCCTCCTCTCACTCTCCTCTCCCTCCTCTCACTCTCCGCTCACTCTCCCTCCTCTCTCCCTCCACAGAGTCCCGCGTTGGGCACGTTAATTGGGGTGTACCTGCCCTGCCTGCAGAACATCCTGGGGGTCATCCTGTTCCTGCGTCTCACCTGGATCGTGGGCACCGCCGGCATCATGGAGACCCTTGCCATTGTGGTCATGACCTGCTCCTGTGTAAGGAATATATGATAATATTGCTATTTGTGACCCACCACCTGGATTCAGTCCCTATACAGTGAGGGAAAAAAGTATTTGATCCCCTGCTGATTTTGTAAGTTTGCCCACTGACAAAGAAATGATCAGTCTATAATTTTAATGGTAGGTTTATTTGAACAGTGAGAGACAGAATAACAACAAAAAAATGTCCAAAATGTTATAAATGTATTTTGCATTTTAATGAGGGAAATAAGTATTTGACCCCTCTGCAAAACATGACTTAGTACTTGGTGGCAAAACCCTTGTTGGCAATCACAGAGGTCAGACGTTTCTTGTAGTTGGCCACCAGGTTTGCACACATCTCAGGAGGGATTTTGTTCCACTCCTCTTTGCAGATCTTCTACAAGTCATTAAGGTTTCGAGGCTGACGTTTGGCAACTCGAACCTTCAGCTCCCTCCACAGATTTTCTATGGGATTAAGGTCTGGAGACTGGCTAGGCCACTCCAGGACCTTTAATGTGCTTCTTCTTGAGCCACTCCTTTGTTGCCTTGGCCGTGTGTTTTGGGTCATTGTCATGCTGGATAACCCATCCACGACCCATTTTCAATGCCCTGGCTGAGGGAAGGAGGTTCTCACCCAAGATTTGGCCCGTCCATCATCCCTTTGATGCGGTGAAGTTGTCATGTCCCCTTAGCAGAAAAACACCCCCAAAGCATAATGTTTCCACCTCCATGTTTGACGGTGGGGATGGTATTCTTGGGATCATATGCAGCATTCCTCCTCCTCCAAACACGGCGATTTGAGTTGATGCCAAAGAGCTCGATTTTGGTCTCATCTGACCACAACACTTTCACCCAGTTCTCCTCTGAATCATTCAGATGTTAATTGGCAAACTTCAGACGGTCCTGTATATGTGCTTTCTTGAGCAGGGGGACCTTGCGGGCGCTGCAGGATTTCAGTCCTTCACGGTGTAGTGTGTTACCATTTGTTTTCTTGGTGACTATGGTCCCAGCTGCCTTGAGATCATTGACAAGATCCTCCCGTGTAGTTCTGGGCTGATTCCTCACCGTTCTCAGGATCATTGCAACTCCACGAGGTGAGATCTTGCATAGAGCCCCAGGCCGAGGGAGATTGACAGGTCTTTTGTGTTTCTTCCATTTGCGAATAATCGTACCAACTGTTGTCACCTTCTCACCAAGCTGCTTGGCGATGGTCTTGTAGCCCATTCCAGCCTTGTGTAGGTCTACAATCTTGTCCCTGACATCCTTGGAGTGCTCTTTGGTCTTGGCCATGGTGGAGAGTTTGGAATCTGATTGATTGATTGCTTCTGTGGACAGGTGCTTTTATACAGGTAACAAGCTGAGATTAGGAGCACTCCCTTTAAGAGTGTGCTCCTAATCTCAGCTCGTTACCTGTATAAAAGACACCTTGGAGCCAGAAATCTTTCTGATTGAGAGGGGGTCAAATACTTATTTCCCTCATTAAAATGCAAATCAATTTATAACATTTTTGACATATGTTTTTCTGGATTTTTTTGTTGTTATTCTGTCTCTCTCTGTTCAAATAAACCTACCATTAAAATTATAGACTGATCATTTCTTTGTCAGTGGGCAAACTTACAAAATCAGCAGGGGATCAAATACTTTTTTCCCTCACTGTATAGCAAAATTTGAAATTTAGTTTTTAACATTGGATAAAAGTAGAGACTCCGAGCTAGAAAATTGTATATCATACACTGCAGTTGAGGAACAATGGGAAAGTAATTCTGCTTTGAATGTTGATAAACTTGTAACCCCCCTTTTGAGAAAATGGCCTGTGAATGTTTTGGTACACCTACTGGAGAGCTCTTCTTTGTCTACACCCATTCAGTGTCGTTCACACCCTCTTAAGCCTTAGCCCCACCCATCTCTTTAAGGATTCACAGTGTAGACGAAACGTGGTGAAAGTAGTAGCAAAAACGAACGTTGTCTAGTCCTTGACCTATATCCTAATCTGACTTTGGTGCAGGTCATGTTGATCTTCACATTACCGTCTCTGGTAAATACACACTATATCAAATAAAATCTACGTTTATTTGTCACAGGATACAGAAGGTGTAAACGGTACAGTGAAATAGTTACTTGCATAGTGGAGTCTTTTGTTTAGACATGTAGCCAGCTAGCTAAACAATGAACCATAATCCCAACTCTAATGCCACGTTCAAAACAACTGGGAACTCGGAAATCTCAGACTTCCGAGCATTCAACTGGGAACTTGGGGAAAAAAACGAGCTCCGACTGGGGAAAAATCTATTTGAACGGTCATCCAACTTGGAATTCCAACTCGGGAACACAGGCCTCTTTCTAAAGCTCAGACTTTCCGACCTGAAGATCACTGACATCATGATTTGACCTCATATTTTTCCAAGTTCCCAGTTGTTTTGAACGCAGCAATACTACCATGCATGAATCTGCAGGTAGCTAAAGCTAACCAACAAGTTCATTAGTCTATAACTAGAAATGCAAATGGTTTCTTCTTTCTGTGTTCTCTTTTTGGACTCTCTGCATTTGGCAATCATCTCTCTGCTTCCACTGATTTCAAAACTCGGTGAACTTCTTCCGTGACAACGACACCGTTTCCCCCCCACCATTGTCATCAGAAGACTCTACAATGTCTGGTTCAATGAAAATGTTTTTACTTAAGTCAGGGATTTCCTCATTGTCGGATTAATTTTAAATCAAATGTTATTGATCACATGCAGATGTTATTGCGGGTGTAGCGAAATGCTTGTGTTCTTAGCGCCAACAGTGCAGTAGTATCTAACAATTCACAACAATACACACAAATCTAAAAGTAAAATAATGGAATTAAGAAATATATAAATATTAGGACGAGCAATGTCGGAGTGGCATTGATTAGAATACAGTACATACTGTACATATGAAATGAGTAAAGCAGTATGTAAACGCTATTAATGTGACTAGTATTCCATTATTAAAGTGACCAGTGATTCCATGTCAATGTACATAGGGCAGCAGACTCTATGGTGCAGGGTTGCGTAACCGGGTTGTAGCCGGCTAGTGATGGCTATTTAACAGGGCGGCAGGAAGCTTAGTGATTAAGAGCGTTGTGCCAGTAACCGAAAGGTCGCTGGTTCTAATCCCCGATCCGACTAGGTGAAAAATCTGTCGATGTGCCCTTGAGCGAAGCACTTAACCCTAATTGCTCCTGTAAGTCGCTCTGGATAAGAGCGTGTATTTTTTTTATTATTTTTTTAAAAAGTCATTTAGCAGTCTGGTGGCATTGAGATAGAAGCTGTTTTTCAGTCTCTCTGTCCCAGCTTTGATGCACCTGTACTGACCTCTTCTTCTGGATGATGGCGGGGTTAACAGGCCGTGGCTCAGGTGGTTGATGTCAGTGATGATCTTTTTGGCCTTCCTGTGACATCGGGTGCTGTAGGTTTCCTGGAGGGCAGGCAGTGTGCCCCTGGTGATGCGTTGGGCAGACCGCACTACCTTCTGGAGAGCCCTGCGGTTGCGGCCGGTGCAGTTGCCGTACCAGGCGGTGATACTGCCCGACAGGATGCTCTCAATTGTGCATCTGTAAAAGTTTGTGAGGGTCGTTGGGGCCAAGCCGAATTTCTTCAGCCTCCTGAGGTTGAAGTGGCGCTGTTGCGCCTTCTTCACCACACTGTCTGTGTGGGTGGACAATTTCAGATGGTCAGTGATGTGTACGCCAAGGAACTGTAAACTTTTCACCTTCTCCACTGCGGTCCCGTGGATGAGGGCGTGCTCCCTCTGCTGTCACCTGAAGTCGACGATCAGCTCCTTCATTTTGTTAGGGTGAGGTTATTTTCCTGGCACCACTCCGCCAGGGCCCTCACCTCCTCCCTGTAGGCCAGGGTTCTTCAATTCCGGTCCTGGAGGGCCGAGACACCTCTGTTTTTCATCCTCTCCTTCTAATCAGGGGCTAATTCAGACCTGGGACACCAGGTGAGTGCAATTAACTACCAGGTAGAAATAAAAAACAGAAGTGTTTCGGCCCTCCAGGACTTGAAGAAGAATTGAAGAACCCTGCTGTAGGCGGTCTCGTCATTGTTGGTAATCATGCCTACTATTGTTGTGTCGTCTGCAAACTTGATGATTGAGTTGGAGGCGTGCATGGCCACGCAGTCATGGGTGAACAGGGAGCACAGGAGGGGGCTGAGCACTCACCCTTGTGGGGCCCCTGTGTTGAGGATCAGCGTAGTGGAGGTATTGTTTCCTACCTTCACCACCTGGGGGCGCCCTGTAAGGAAGTCCATGTAAGGAATATACATGCCTGTGACTATAACCAAAAAATAATTATCTTGGGAGGTAATACGGTCGGCATTTGATTGTGAGTTGTTCTAGGTTGGGTGAACAAAAGGACTTGAGTTCCTGTACGTTATCACAATCACACCATGAGTAGTTAATCATGAAACATACTTATTCCTGTCTGCGCGATGTACTGAAAGCCAGCTGGCTGTATGGACGGGGACAGTATATCCTGACCATGACGATTTTCAGAGTCAGAGAGAGTCAGCATGGCACGATCATCCTCCAGAAAGTAGTTCAAAGTAGTCCATCACAACTTTTTCCCACTGAGCTTTGTCGATAGCATAACTTCAGGGCAGCAATGTTGAGAGCGGTAACAAAACTTTTTCAGTTCTTCATGATATCTTTCAAAAACAGCCATGATGGGAAGGATTATCCACACATACTGAGCAGCTCATGTTATAGACAGAAGCATTCTACATGGTAGACCAATCCAAACTTCCATCTCTCAGCATGTCCAGAACATCCATAATCTCAGCCAATCATTGCTCGAGGGAAGGTTCCTGTATTTTTCCGTAGCTTAACCAACCAGGCTCATAATTTAACAATTGTATTCATATTTACAGATGGCATACACGTTTGTTATTAAGGCACATGAAAGTTCCAGAAGGCATTTTGGCAACAAAAAAAAACATTCAAATGCCTCTCCTGTGAAGTAGTGACGTGCCTAGTTTCTTCCAACGGGTCACATTTATCCAAAGCGACTTACAGTCATGCATGCATACATTTTACGTATGGGTGGTCTCGGGAATCGAACCCACTATCCTGGCGTTGCAAGCGCCATGAGCGACCAACTGACCTACAGCAGACCACTACCCAACCAGAGTCTGAAGACCATGATCGGTTGAACCATGATCGGCCTACACACACTGCACACCCACCATAGCCCTCCATGACTGCAGATGCCCATCCCTTTGAACTCTATGGACCAAATGTTGACTGTGATACTAAAAGAAGCATGTATTTAATTCAAAACCTCTCATTATGCAACATTTTACAAAATCTTATCAAAGTTTGACAGATTAGCAAATTAGCATATGTTAAAGCAGGTGCAGTGACATGCCTGTGTTTTTGCTCCAGCAGTGTCTAACAGTACAATACCAATACACAAATAATTCCCCCCTAGAAAAAAGAAGAAACAAAAAATTCAGAAATATCAGAACGAGCACTTCTTGAGAAGGATGTGATCATTGATGTGAATACTAACAGCATTCAGAAAGTATTCACACCCTTTATTATTTCCACATTTTGTTGTTACAGCCTGAATTTAAAATTGATTAAATTGAGATTTTGTGCCACTGATCTGCACACAATACCCGATTTTAATTTCAAAGTGGAATTTTGTTTGTAGACATTTTTTGCAATTAATGGAAAAAAGTGAAGCTGAATTGTCTTGAGTGAATAATTATTCAACTCCTCGTTATGGCAAGCATAAATAAGTTCAGGAGTAAAAATGTGCTTAACAAATCGCATAATAAGTTGCATGGACTCATTCCATGTTCAATAATGGTGGTTAACATGATTTTTGAATGACTACCCCATCGCTGTACCCCACACATACAATTATCTGTAAGATCCTTCAATTGAGTAGTGAATTTCAAGCACAAATTCAACCACAAATACCAGGGAGGTTTTTCAATTCATCCCAAAGAAGGGCACAGATTGGTAGATCTGTGTAAAAAAATTAAAAAAGATATAAAAAAATAACAGACGCTCAATATCCCTTTGAGCATGGTGAAATTATTAATTAGACTTTGGATGGTGTATCAATACACCCAGTCACTAAAAAGATACAGGCACCCTTCTAACTCAGTTGCCGGAGAGGAAGGAAACTGCTCAGGGATTTCACCGAGGCCAATGGTGATTTTAAAACAGTTAGAGTTTTAATGGTTGTGATATGAGAAAACTGAGGACAACATTGTAGTTACTCCACAATACTAACCTAAATGACAGAGTGAAAAGAAGGAAGCCTTTACAGAATAAAAATGTTCCAAAACATGCATCCTGTTTTCAACAAGGCACTTAAGTAATACTGCAAAAAATGTGGCAAAGAAATTAGCTTTTTGTCCTGAATACAAAGCCTTATGTTTGGGGCAAATCCAACACATCACTGAGTACCACAGTTCATATTTTCAAGCATGGTGGTGGCTACATCATGTTATGGGTATGCTTGTCATCGGCAAGGACTAAGGAGTTTTTTTAGTCTGAAAAGAAACAGAATACAGCTACAAGCACAGGATAACCTGTTTCAGTCTGCTTTCCAACAGACACAAATTCACCTTTCAGCAGGACAATAACCTAAAGCACAAGGCCAAATCTACACTGGAGTTGCTTACCAAGATGACCATCGAGAGCATCCTGACCGGTTGCATCACCGCCTGGTATGGCAACTGCTCGGCATCTGGCCGTAAGGCGCTACAGAGGGTAGTGCGTACGGCCCAGTACATCACTGGGGCCAGGTTTCCTGCCATCCAGGACCTCTATACCAGGCGGTGTCAGAGGAAGCCCAAAACATTGTCAAAGACTCCAGTCACCCAAGTCATAGACTGTTCTCGCTGCTACCACACGGCAAGCGGTACCGGAGCGCCAAGTCTAGAACCAAAAGGCTCCTTAACAGCTTCTACCTCCCCATCCATTTGTTTTTACACTGCTGCTACCTGCTGTCTATTATCTATGTATAGTCACTTTACCCCTACCTACATGTACAAATTACCTTGACTAACCTGTACCCCCGCACATTGACTCGGTACCGGTACCCCCTGTATATAGCCTTGTTATTGTTATTTTATTGTGTTACTTTTAATTATTTTTTACTTTAGTTTATTTGGTAAATATTTTCTTAACTCTTTCTTGAACTGCATTGTTGAGTAAGGGCTTGTAAGTAAGCATTTCACGGTAAGGTCTGCACCTGTTGTATTCGGCACATGTGACAAATAAAGTATTATTTGATTTGAATGTCCCTGAGTGGCCTAGTTACAATTTTGACTTAAATCAGCTTGAAAATCTATGGCAAGACTTGAATGGCTGTCTAGCAATGATCAACAATTAACTTGACAAAGCTTGAAGAATTTTGAAAATAATAAGCAAATATTCAAACAATCCAGGTGTGGAAAGCTCTTAGAGACTCAGAAAGACTCTCAGCTGTAATCGCTGCCAAAGGTGCTTCTAACATGTATTGACTCAGGGGTGTGAATACTAGATATTTAATTTTCAATAAAATGCGCAAACATTTCTAAAAACATGTTTTCACTTTATCATTATGGAGTATTGTGTGTAGATGGGTGAGAAAAATAAATAATATTTAATCAATTTTGAATTCAGGCTGTTACACAACAAATTGTGTAATAAGTCAAGGGGTATGAATACTTTCTGAAGGTACCTGTGGTGCTGATGTTTAGGCCGAGGTAGGTATAGTTTTTTGTTTGCTCCATGGCAACGGTGGCAACGGCAAAGGTGGAATTTGTATTTGTGGTCCTGGCAGCTGGACCTTTTTTGGAACACCATCATTTTTTTCTCACTGAGATTCACGGTCAGGGCCCAGGTCTGACAGAATCTGTACATAAGACATAGGTGCTGCTGTAGGCCCTCCTTGGTTGGGGACAGAAGCACCAGATCATCAGCAAACAGTAGATATTTGACTTCAGATTCTAGTAGGGTGCTGCAGACTGTTCTCGTGCCCTCGCCAATTCGTTGATATACAGTACCAGTCAAAAGTTTGGACACACCTACTCATTCAAGGGTTTTTCTTTATTTGTAGTATTTTCTACATTGTAGAATAATAATGAAGACATCAAAACTATGAAAGAACACATATGGAATCATGTAGTAACCAAAAAAGTGTTAAACAAATCAAAATATATTTTATATTTGAGATTCTTCAAATAGCCACCCTTTCCCTTGATGACAGCTTTGCATTCTCTCAACCAGCTTCACCTGGAATGCTTTTCCAACAGTCTTGAAGGAGTTCCCACTTATGCTGAGCACTTGTTGGCTGCTTTTCCTTCACTCTGCGGTCTGACTCATCCCAAACCATCTCAATTGGGTTGAGGTTGGGGGATTGTGGAGGCCAGGTCATCTGATGCAGCACTCCATCACTCTCCTTCTTGGTCAAATAGCCCTTACACAGCCTGAAGGTGTGTTGGGTCATTGTCCTGTTGAAAAACAAATGATAGTCCCACTAAGCCCAAACCAGATGGGATGGCTTATCGCTGCAGAATGCTGTGGTAGCCATGCTGGTTAAGTGTGCCTTGAATTCTAAATAAATCACAGACATTGCTTTATCTTGGCCAGGTCGCAGTTGTAAATGAGAACTTGTTCTCAACTGGCTTACCTGGTTAAATAAAGGTTAAATAAAAAAATAAAAACATTGTCACCAGCAAAGCATCCTCACACCATAACACCTCCTCCTCCATGCTTTACGGTGGGAACTAAACATGCGGAGACATCCATTTACCCACACCGCGTCTCACAAAGACACGGCGGTTGGAACCAAAAATATCAAATTTGGACTCAAGACCAAAGGACACATTTCCACCGATCAAATGTTCATTGCTCGTGTTTCTTGGCCCAAGCAGGTCTCTTCTTATTATTGGTGTCCTTTTAGTAGTGGTTTCTTTGCAGCAATTCGACCATGAAGGCCTAATTTACACAGTCCCCTCTGAACAGTTGATGTTGAGATGTGTCTATGACTTGAACTCTGTGAAGCATTTATTTGGGCTGCAATTTCAGAGGCTGGTAACACTAATGAACTTATCCTCTGCAGCAGAGGTAACTCTGGGTCTTCCATTCCTGTGGCGGTCCTCATGAGAGCCAGTTTCATCATAGCGCTTAATGGTTTTTGCGACTGCACTTGAAGAAACTTTCAAAGTTCTTGAAATGTTCCGTATTGACTGACCTTCATGTCTTAAAGTAATGCTTTTTTGAGCTGTTCTTGACATAATATGGACTTGGTCTTTTCCCAAATAGGGCTATCCTCTGTATACCCCCCTACCTTGTCACAACACAACTGATTGGCTCAAACGCATTAAGAAGGAAAGAAATTCCACAAATTAACTTTTAACAAGGCACACCTGTTAGTTGAAATGCATTCCAGGTGACTACCTCATGAAGCTGGTTGAGCGAATGCCAAGAGTGTGCAAAGCTGTCATCAAGGCAAAGGGTGGCTATTTGAAGAATCTCAAATATAAAATATATTTTGATTTGTTTAACACTTTTTTGGTTACTTCATGATTCCATATGTGTTATTTCAAAGTTTTGATGTCTTCACTGTTATTCTACAATGTAAAAAAAAATAAAAATAAAGAAAAACACTTGAATGAGTAGGTGTGTCCAAACTTTTGACTGGTAGTGTATAACTTTATTTTACTTTTTGGCTTCAGATTGAACATTGACTGATTTCAGGGAAAAGTGGGCTCATGTCAATTACCCAGCTGCCTGTGCTTGTGTTCCTAAAGATTTATAAGCCATAGCTGAGTCGTTTAGCCACTAAATACGGGATAAGCTCCCCCTTGATTATTTTTCTTTGGATTACATGCATTTTAGATTCACAAATGCTGAACGTAATCTAAAATGGTGGGATTTTTTTTCACTCTCTTCTTCGCAGACAATGCTGACAGCCATATCAATGAGTGCCATTGCTACGAATGGTGTGGTTCCAGGTAGGTCCACTGTGGATAAACGGTACATTTCTACATTTCTACTAAATAGAATTGGTCTGCCATTTCCTTCACCTCAAGAATTTTAACTGAGAAATAAGATGAAATCGTTTAGAGAGTTGGGATTCCAGCACCAGAGGAATCAGTATCTAACACTACACCCCAAAGTGAGTTTACTCTGTGGGCCGTGGTTCTGACTCTGTCCCCCATTGTTGTTGGTCTGTAGCTGGAGGCTCCTACTACATGATCTCAAGGTCGCTGGGGCCAGAGTTCGGCGGGGCTGTGGGGCTCTGCTTCTACCTGGGGACCACCTTTGCTGGCTCCATGTACATCCTCGGTACTATAGAGATTCTATTAGTGAGTATCCTTTGCAAAGATACTGTAGTTTTTACTACTACCTCATCTGTATACATTTAATACATGAACGGATAAAAACACTGCCTGATGAGGCTGGTATCTGAACCTTCCAAAACGCTGTACCCTACTGTACCCTACCCCCCCGTCTCCCTTCTCCTCCCAGACCTACATTGTGCCTAGTGCGGCCATCTTCAAGGCGGAGAAGAAGGAGGACGAGCCGGAGGCGCTGCTCAACAACATGCGGGTGTACGGCACCTGCTGCCTCACCCTCATGTCCCTGGTGGTGTTCGTGGGGGTCAAGTACGTCAACAAGCTGGCCCTGGTCTTCCTGGCCTGTGTCATCCTGTCCATTCTGGCCATCTACGCCGGAGTCATCAAGACCGCCTTCGAACCGCCAGACTTCCCGTAAGTCTAGTCTAAACTCACAGCCTTGTTTTAAAAAATACAACCAGAAACAACTAGAAGCGAACACGCTCACACACAAATTACTCTTGGTCTTACCTCCGATCATCAAGTCTCCTCAGAACATCGAAGGTCTTTTTATTTTTTATGTTTGTGAAATTCTTTCAATGTTTCGTTCTACATCCTCCTCCCAGTATTTGCCTGTTGGGGAACCGCACGTTGCAGAACCACAACTTCGACCAGTGCTTGAAGACGATGGAGGTGGACAACGTGACGGTCACCACCAAGCTGTGGTCCCTGTTCTGTGACTCTCCAGACCTCAACGCCACCTGCAATGAATACTTCACTCTCAACAACGTCACTGTGATCCAGGGAATCCCCGGGCTGACCAGTGGGGTCATCAGAGGTGAGAGACCCCCCCCCTCCCCCTTTCTTTGTGATTTAAATTATGTGACAAACTTTAATTGTGGGGTGAACATTCCCGTTATGTAAAGTCTACCCACACTGCTAAAGCAATGCTCTTTCCCCCTCAGTCCCACTGACACCTTATCCTAATGTAAACCAGGATTACAATCAATTGTTTTTATTTGTAGTACATCATAACGCTGTGTCAGTTCCTCTCAGGCTACTTACTATATTACCCTTGAAGCTCTTATGAGAGTTAGATTAGGAAGATTCTGTGTGGCTCAGTTGGTAGAGAGTGCATGGCACTTGCAACGCCGGGGTTGTGGGTTCGATTCCCATGGGGGACCGCTACTACTAACAAATATGAAAATGTACGCACTCACTACTGGAAGTCGCTCTGGATAAGAAATGACTTAAAATGTAAAATGAAGATGTACAGGCAATGTGACAGGCAATAGAGAGTGATGCTTGGGAAGAAAGTCTCGTCCTGTGTTGAAGTGTTCCCTTGCTGGGACGACTGACACCAGGGATGACCTGTAAACACTTCTCTGTCTGGGGTTGGCTATCTGCTTTACACTATTGAGATGGACCCCATATAAAGAAGAATGCATCGGGTCCATCTCAATAGTGTTAACGAGTAGTGGAGACGGGGGAAGAATTCAGGACCAGGCTCCATGTCTAGTTTATTTACTGACAGGATCTTCTTTTATTGAATCCAATGATGGATGGGACTGTCTTCAATTCAATCAGCACAGTATCATCTAGATCCATCCTAGATTTACATTTTACATTTTTGTCATTTAGCAGACGCTCTTATCCAGAGCGACTTACATGAGCAATTAGGGTTAAGTGCCTTGCTCAAGGGCACATCGACAGGTTTTTCACCTCGTCAGCTCGGGGATTAGAACCAACGACCTTTCGGTTACTGGCACAACGCTCTTAACCACTAAGCTACCTGCCGCCCCTGTTTGTTTAGGCTGAGATGCAGGACTACCACAGCCGCCAGAACAATTGACATACTAGTGGGTTATCATAACATATTCAGGACATTCCCAAAACTCTTGACATTGATGTCCACTTTCCCATCATCACTTCCAAATTGCTCAAATTCCTTAAGTTATGGAATCAGGCGTTTGCAGGCGTGTGATTGATGAGTTCCATATGTACTGTGTTCTCCCTTCCTCTATTTCTCTTATCTCTCTCCTAACCACCCCTCCACCCCCTCTTCCTATCCCTCCACTTCACCCCCCCCACCCTTCATCTCTCCCCCCCTCTACAGACAACATCTGGGGGGACTACGGTCCTAACGGCATGTTGGTAGAGAATAAGCACCAGGCGTCGGAGCCGGCTGCAGACACCTCCCAGGACATCTACATGCCCTACGTGGCCAACGACATCACCACCTTCTTCACCCTGCTGGTGGGCATCTACTTCCCCTCCGTCACTGGTACGTTCACATGGACATCTACTTCCCCTCCGTCACTGGTACGTTCACATGGACATCTACTTCCCCTCCGTCACTGGTACGTTCACATGGGCATCTACTTCCCCTCCGTCACTGGTACGTTCACATGGGCATCTACTTCCCCTCCGTCACTGGTACGTTCACATGGACATCTACTTCCCCTCCGTCACTGGTACGTTCACATGGGCATCTACTTCCCCTCCGTCACTGGTACGTTCACATGGGCATCTACTTCCCCTCCGTCACTGGTACGTTCACATGGGCATCTACTTCCCCTCCGTCACTGGTACGTTCACATGGACATCTACTTCCCCTCCGTCACTGGTACGTTCACATGGGCATCTACTTCCCCTCCGTCACTGGTACGTTCACATGGACATCTACTTCCCCTCCGTCACTGGTACGTTCACATGGACATCTACTTCCCCTCCGTCACTGGTACGTTCACATGGACATCTACTTCCCCTCCGTCACTGGTACGTTCACATGGGCATCTACTTGTAGAAAAAGGAGGAAAGGGAAGCGCTGCTAGGATACACAATAATGGATCTTTGTAGATAGAAGGTGCTCTTTAACCCATTACAGTCAAAGCCCTGTCTAATACGGGGGTTCTATTAAGATATATGGAGTTGTTTTAAGAAGGTCATACCAAGGATCATTTTGCTATTTGATTTAGAATTTTAAGACCCCTTGAAGTTTAAAAATAATTATTATTATTATAATTGATGAAAAATGTTATTTGGCCTTACTGCTTTTAGCCCAAACAAACGCATTCAATAACAGATTCATTACATGGAACAACAGATAGTCCCCCCCAAAAAAAATATAAAGGATGTTTGTTCTGAAGTGTCTGTCCTATATCTGAGAGGTATTAGTAGGATCAGAAAACATTTATGTTTTTGACATGTATTTATCCCCTTATTTATGGCACTAAACAGTCTCCATATATAGAGCAAAACAACATGTACGTGTTTGTGAGAGTCTCACCTTTCCACAGATGGGTCATATTAGTGTGTAGCCCAAACTGTTCGGACGCTACAGACAATTTTGTTTTCGGGATGTCTCATGGTCTGACAAACTCTGCTCTAGCTCTGTCACCTTTCACGGCAGATGCGGAAGTGCGACACCGGTGGATGCGGTGGATTGAGACTCATCCAATGCAAAAAAAAAAAAGTGGGGATTTTTATGGAGATATGGGGTAGCCTGGGTCCTACCAGAGCGCAGATATTATAACACCTTCCTATTTCCCCTCCTCACAGGAATCATGGCTGGATCCAACAGGTCTGGTGATCTGAGGGATGCCCAGAAGTCCATCCCCATAGGAACCATCATGGCCATCGCCACCACCACCTTCATATGTATCCTTAATGACTGCAACAACAGCCCAGCCATAAAAGTGTCTAATAGGACAAATACAAGCACCCAGGGGCGCAACTTTCACTGGGGACATGTCCCCCACCACATTCTGAAATTGCATTTTTGTCCCCCCCCCCAGTTTTATCATTGGAAAATAAGGCAACGGTGAGCTTTAGGACCGTGCGGACGCCTCCGAGCAGTCGGGTAGGCTGTTTGGAGTGTTTATCTGACTGGATAAAAAATATATATATGCCCCCCCCCCACTTCTAAACCAAAGTTGCGCCCCTGCAAGCACCTACCAAATCATTATAATACATGACAAGTCAATGTGTTGTTATATGTCAACTTTAAACTGTAAAGTTAGGTCGTGTTCATTTGGGTACTCCCATAGCAAAACGTAGCAATGGTAATCGCAAATGAGCATTCTTTATTGGACAAGTCCAGGTAGTCTTTCCCCACTCTACTCCGTTTGGTGCTCAAATGAATGTGACCATGTTTTGTTTTTCACCTCTTTTGCCCTTCTGAGGCTAATTTCCTTAATGGCGCCACCCAGACATTAGTTCTGTCATACTGTTTGGCGCCTGCATCGAGGGGGTGGTGCTCAGAGACAAGTAAGTGCTGTTTTACTTTTCACACTTGGTATGAAAGCAGTACAAATGTCTTGTTTATTTGTTAATGAAAGCAGTACAAATGTCTTGTTTATTTGTTAATGAAAGCAGTACATATGTCTTGTTTATTTGTTAATGAAAGCAGTACAAATGTCTTGTTTATTTGTTAATGAAAGCAGTACAAATGTCTTGTTTATTTGTTAATGAAAGCAGTACAATTGTCTTGTTTATTTGTTAATGAAAGCAGCACAAATGTCTTGTTTATTAGTTAATGGAAGCAGTACAAATGTTTTGTTTATTAGTTAATGAAAGCAGCACAAATGTCTTGTTTATTTGTTAATGAAAGCAGTACAAATGTCTTGTTTATTTTTTTATAAAAGCAGTACAAATGTCTTGTTTATTTGTTTCGCCCCATGTGGACATTGAGGGAGAAATGCTCATCTGGATTGAAAACATGTGTTTCCCTTCATAAAGCTGTTTGTCTGAGCCACATCGTAGGGCCTTGTGACACACAGCATTATCAGGGGGAGAGTTCAAGTAAATTATACGGGGTACGCAATGGTCAAAGCTAGTGTGTGTGTCAAGCTGGCAAGGTTTTTCTCTGTTTCAGCAGTGTGGTTATGCATATCCCAGTGTGTGCATAGTATCTGAGTACTTTTCTAATGAATGCATCTTTCTGTCCTAGGTTTGGGGATTCGGTCAAAGGGAACCTGGTGATTGGCATCCTTGCTTGGCCCTCCCCCTGGGTGATTGTGATTGGCTCATTCTTCTCCTGCTGTGGAGCGGGTTTGCAGAGTCTCACTGGAGCCCCCCGGCTGCTGCAGGCCATCGCACGAGACGGCATTGTGCCATTCCTACAGGTCTGACACACACATACTGTAGACACACACACACACACACACACACACACACACACACACACACACACACACACAGCGACTTACAAATATACACACACAAACTCTCTGGCTGTCCCTGTTTCCTAGGTGTTTGGTCATGGCAAGGCTAATGGAGAGCCCACCTGGGCCCTGCTGTTGACTGGTGGGATCTGTGAGATCGGTATCCTCATCGCTTCTCTGGACGCTGTCGCCCCCATCCTCTCCATGTGAGTACCCCCCCCCCCCCTATCCTCTCCATGTGAGTACCCCCCCCCCCCCATCCTCTCCATGTGAGTACCCCCCCATCCTCTCCATGTGAGTACCCCCCATCCTCTCCATGTGAGTACCCCCCCATCCTCTCCATGTGAGTACCCTCCATCCTCTCCATGTGAGTACCCTCCATCCTCTCCATGTGAGTACCCCATCCTTTTTCTGTGAGTACCCCCATCCTCTCCATGTGAGTACCCCCCATCCTCTCCATGTGAGTACCCCCCCATCCTCTCCATGTGAGTACCCCCTATCCTCTCCATGTGAGTAGCCCCATCCTCTCCATGTGAGTAGCCCACATCCTCGCCATGTGAGTACCCCCCCACCCATCCTCACCATGTGAGTACCCGCCCACCCATCCTCTCCATGTGAGTACCCCTCCATCCTCTGTCGCCTCCATCCTCTCCATGTGAGTGCCCCCCATCCTCTCTATGTGAGTACCCCCCCATCCTTTCTATGTGAGTACCCCCCATCCTCTCTATGTGAGTACCCCCCCCATCCTTTCTATGGGAGTACCCCCCCCATCCTTTCTATGTGAGTACCCCCCATCCTCTCTATGTGAGTACCCCATCCTCTCCATGTGAGTAGCCCACATCCTCGCCATGTGAGTACCCCCCCCCAACCATCCTCTCCATGTGAGTACCCCCCACGCATCCTCTCCATGTGAGTACCCCCCTCCATCCTCGCCATGTGAGTACCCCCCCACCATCCAGTACCCCCCCCCTCCATCCTCTCCATGTGAGTACCCCATCCTCTGTCGCCTCATCCTCTCCATCTGAGTACCCCCCACCATCCTCTCCATCTGAGTACCCCCCCCATCCTCTCCATCTGAGTACCCCCCACCATCCTCTCCATGTGAGTACCCCCGCATCCTCTCTGTCGCCTCCATCTGAGTACTCTCCCTCCATCCTCTCTATGTGAGTACCCCCCTCTACCCTCTCCATGTGAGTACCCCCCTCCATCCTCTCCATGTCAGTACCCCCCATCCTCTCTGTCGCCTCCATCCTCTCCATGTGAGTAACCCCCTCCATCCTCTCCATGTGAGTACCCCCCCCTCCATCCTCTCCATGCGAGTACCCCCTCTCCATGTGAGTACCCCCCCACCATCCTCTACATGTGAGTACCCCCCCTCCATCCTCCCATGTGAGTACCCCCCCTCCATCCTCTCCATGTGAGTACCGCCTCTTCATGTGAGTATCCCCCACCATCCTCTACATGTGAGTACCCCCCCACCATCCTCTCCATGTGAGCACCCCCCCTCCATCCTCTCCATGTGAGTACCCCCCTCTCCATGTGAGTACCCCCCCCACCTTTCTCTGGGCTCCCGAGTGGGGAGCCCAGAGAAAGGTACTGCATCTCAGTGCTTGAGGCGTCACTACAGACCCCCTGGTTCGATTCCAGGCTGTATCACAACCGGCCGTGATTGGGAGTCCCATAGGGCGGCGCACAATTGGCCCAGCGTCGTCCGGGTTTGGCCGGTGTAGGCCGTCATTGTAAATAAGAATTTGTTCTTAACTGACTTGCCTAGTTAAATAAAGGTAAAAACAATTAATAATCTCCTCCTCCTTTCTTCTCTCACTCTTTAACCCCACTCTTCTCTCCCGGTGTCACACCTCTCTCTCCCCCTGTCTGTCTGACTTTCTCCCCCCTCTCTCCCTCAAAATGGCGGTTCGACTATGAATATCTAGTATGTACATATCTAGTATGTCCCACTCCTCCAAACTTTTTCTCCACCTACTCATTATCCTCTCTCTCTACTTTCCTCTCTTTCTTTCCTTCCCTCCCTCCCTCCCTCCCCTCCCCTTCCCTTCCCTCCCTCCCTCCATCCCTCCCTTCCATCTACTGTAATGTAGCCTAATCATAGTGTTGCAGAACTGGTCTCTGGAGGTTTACTGACAGATGGTAGTCGTCTGTAATCTCATCTCTCCCTCATTGTATATTTCTCTTCCTGTCAGGTTCTTTTTGATGTGCTACCTATTTGTTAACCTGGCCTGTGCCCTCCAGACCCTGCTCTGCACCCCCAACTGGAGACCCCGCTTCAAGTTCTACCACTGGTAAGAGGAAACTCCTCTCTCTCACTTTATATGGTGATGCTGGCTGTTCTAATGCCCTCTCAAATTAGCACTCAAAGCTTCACTGTTTTCTCCTGCTTCATCAAGTACTGTAGCAGTCTCTTGGGACTCTGTTAGCCTAGCAACAGACCTCCTAACTTTACCTGAGGAGGTTGTTATTGAGTTCAGTGCCAGGAACCCCCAGAGGATAGACACACACACACACACACACATTCATACAGATACACATCACACGTACGCATACAGACACATCACACGTACGCACACACACACACACACACACAGATGCACATCACACACACACACACACGCGCACGCACACACACACACACACACACACACACACACACACACACACACACACACACACACATCTGGCACAAACACCCTATCCCGGGGGCCGGGAGTTATGGCAGCTATGGGCAGGGTGTTTCTATAGCCTAGCTAAGGAGCTTTGGCTCTGATCCCATGGGCGACTCCAGAAAGCAGGTCCCTGCTGGGCAACTGGTGTGCCTGAGGGAGCAGCTAGCTACCTGTCTTTACTGAAGGGGCAGCTAGCTACCTGTCTTTACTGAAGGGGCAGCTAGCTACCTGTCTTTACTGAAGGGGCAGCTAGCTACCTGTCCTTACTGAACGGGCAGCTAGCTACCTGTCCTTAATGGGGGAGCAGCTAGCTACCTGTCTTTACTGAAGGGGCAGCTAGCTACCTGTCTTTACTGAAGGGGCAGCTAGCTACCTGTCCTTACTGAAGGGGCAGCTAGCTACCTGTCCTTACTGAAGGGGCAGCTAGCTACCTGTCCTTACTGAAGGGGCAGCTAGCTACCTGTCCTTACTGAAGGGGCAGCTAGCTACCTGTCCTTACTGAAGGGGCAGCTAGCTACCTGTCCTTACTGAAAGGCAGGTAACCTACCTGTCCTTACTGAAGGGGCAGCTAGCTACCTGTCCTTACTTAAGGGGCAGCTAGCTACCTGTCCTTACTGAAGGGGCAGCTAGCTACCTGTCCTTACTTAAGGGGCAGCTAGCTACCTGTCCTTACTGAAGGGGCAGCTAGCTACCTGTCCTTACTGAAGGGGCAGCTAGCTACCTGTCCTTACTGAAGGGGCAGCTAGCTACCTGTCTTTACTGAAGGGGCAGCTAGCTACCTGTCCTTACTGAAGGGGCAGCTAGCTACCTGTCTTTACTGGGGTAGCAGCTAGCTACCTGTCTTTATTGAAGGGGCAGCTAGCTACCTGTCCTTACTGAAGGGGCAGCTAGCTACCTGTCTTTATTGAAGGGGAAGCTAGCTACCTGTCTTTACTGAAGGGGCAGCTAGCTACCTGTCCTTACTGAAGGAGCAGCTAACCTACCTGTCCTTACTGAAGGGGCAGCTAACCTACCTGTCCTTACTGAAAGGCAGGTAACCTACCTGTCCTTACTGAAGGGGCAGCTAGCTACCTGTCCTTACTGAAGGGGCAGCTAGCTACCTGTCCTTACTGAAGGGGCAGCTAGCTTCCTGTCTTTACTGAAGGGGCAGCTAGCTACCTGTCCTTACTGAAGGGGCAGCTAGCTACCTGTCCTTACTAAAGGGGCAGCTAGCTACCCATCCTTACTGCCATCACCCAAAGCCCTACTGGGCAGCCTAAATCTCATTATCCTAAACTGGCCAGCTAGTCAAGGTCCACGCTAGAGTTCACGTAAACTTGTATAGTGAATATGCACGCACACACACACACACACACACACACACACACACACACACACACACACACACACACACACACACACACACACACAAACCTTTTATAGCTGTCCAAAGGTAAATGGATCTGTGTTGAAGGTCCATTGCAGCCGTTTTTATCTTAATATCAAATCATTTCTGGGTAACAATTAAATACCTGACTCTGATTGTTTTCAATTAAAAAGTGGTAAAAAAACAAAACAAAAATAGCTTCTTAGCAAAGAGCAATTTCTCAAGCAATAATTTTGCTAGGACTGTCTGGGAGTGGAAAACGGAAAGCTCTTAGTGAGGTTTGGAACTCTCTTTCTTATTGGCATATTAACCCAAAACTCCATTCCACCAAAACAGGCAAAAAGTTTCAAGCTGTCTTTTCTAACAGCTCTTACACTAAAAGGACATTATCATAGTTTTCCCAATTTCATAGTATTATTCCAACCTCATAGTGTGGAAATGTATATAAAACACAGGAGAAAATCAAGTTTCTTACTGCACTGGGCCTTTAAATAAGTGAGGGTATTTGCTGTCTTGTACAGAAGTCCAGAGAGAACATATGATTGGCTGTGGGTAACCTTAAATGAGGTCTTAACATGCTATAAAACTAAATATCCCTTTATAGGCTTGTCATTTGCCTCCTATACGACTGACTGACCTCCATCTTTCCCTCGTCCCTCACAGGGCTCTGTCTTTCCTGGGCGCCAGTCTGTGCCTCTCCCTGATGTTCATCTCCTCCTGGTACTATGCCCTGGTGGCCATGCTCATCGCTGGCTGCATCTACAAGTACATTGAATACAGAGGGTAAGGGCTAACCGATTCTACATTTGTTCCCTTAACACAAATATTATATTATATAAACCGGGTGGTTTGAGCCCTGAATTCTGATTGGCTGAAAGCCGTGGAATATCAGGGTATGACAAAACATTTATTTTTACTGCTCTAATTACGTTGGTAACCAGTTTATGACAGCAATAAGGCACCTCAGGGGTTTGTGGTATATGGCCAATATACCACGGCTCAGGGCTCTGCGTTGCGTCATGCTTAAGAACAGCCCTTAGCCATGGTATATTGGCCATATACCACAAACCCCTCGGGCCTTACTGCTGTAATAATGGTTAGATCCTGGATAGTTGTGGCGCTCTCCGTTTCTCCTCGACCTCCTGACACTCCTCCTTTTTCTCACTCTCTCCATCTCCAGGGCGGAGAAGGAGTGGGGCGACGGTATCCGTGGCCTGTCGCTCAACGCCGCCCGCTACGCCCTCATTCGCCTGGAGGAGGCACCGCCCCACACCAAGAACTGGAGGTGTGTGTGTGTGTGTGTGTGTGTGTGTGTGTGTGGGTTTGGGTTTATGTGCATATACGTTTGTTTGCTCCGTCAGTGACACCACATTTCTGAACCAGCAGTAGCCAGATGTGGGTTATGCAACAGAGGCTAGAGAACATGGTGTATTCTTACCTTTAACTGAGTAATCCAGAGAAAGAGAGAGAATTACTGTTTTATTAATCTCTGAGCCTTCTCCGTAATCTCACTGTGAAAAAAATATACTAGTAAGCCTAAACAGCATAGCAGCCCCAGGACAGTGCCTGTCTAAAAAGTGGAGCATTTACATCAGGAAAGATTGAGGTCAAACTTGGGTGTTGGGTCCTATCTCTCTACTGCCACTGGCATCATCCACAGGGTCATTCCCAGGGCAAAGCCTAATCTACAGCATCAAAATCAAGATTTCTCCCTGTGCCATCTGGCGCGGCATGGAAGGATACCGAGTACTTACGCCCACGCTTGGCTCCCAACACGCCCCTAAGCCTCTTTACACAGTAGCTGGCACTGTGCCACCAGCCTTCGACAGCAGGACCCATGTGCTGAAACTGTTAGGAAGCAGGACCCATGTGCTGAAACTGTTAGGAAGCAGGACCCATGTGCTGAAACTGTTAGGAAGCAGGACCCATGTGCTGAAACTGTTAGGAAGCAGGACCCATGTGCTGAAACTGTTAGGAAGCAGGACCCATGTGCTGAAACTTTTAGGAAGCAGGACCCATGTACTGAAACTGTTAGGAAGCAGGACCCATGTGCTGAAACTGTTAGGAAGCAGGACCCATGTGCTGAAACTGTTAGGAAGCAGGATGTATAGTTTTGATCTGGTTGTTTAAATCTCATCATCTGCCCAAATGACCTCTAGTGAGAGTGTATACAGGATTCCCCCTCACTATTATGCCCAGTGTGTGTGTTGTGGGTGTGTGTGGCTAACAAAACCGTTGGACAAGAGACATCATGTCAAACAGTGTGTAATTTGATGTGTTACATCAAATGAACTCTCAGCCATCCAAGCTGAATGGCTATCTCATACTGATCTCTGGTTAACTCTCAGCCATCCAAGCTGAATGGCTATCTCATACTGATCTCTGGTTAACTCTCAGCCATCCAGGCTGAATGGCTATCTCATACTGATCTCTGGTTAACTCTCAGCCATCCAGGCTGAATGGCTATCTCATACTGATCTCTGGTTAACTCTCAGCCATCCAGGCTGAATGGCTATCTCATACTGATCTCTGGTTAACTCTCAGCCATCCAGGCTGAATGGCTATCTCATACTGATCTCTGGTTAACTCTCAGCCATCCAAGCTGAATGGCTATCTCATACTGATCTCTGGTTAACTCTCAAAAAGTGGCGTCCATGACCTTTATTTTTGTGCAAATCTCCCATGGACAGAAATGCATGATCTACATGAATGCCCAAGTTACACTTAGATACTGTCATAGGTTCATGCAGTGTAATGTAACTTATAATACAGTATGACTTGTCTGATGTCTCAGCACCCCTGTCTTCCCTGGTCGTAGGTTATAATACACTATGACTTGTCTGATGTCTCAGCACCCCTGTCTTCCCTGGTCGTAGGTTATAATACAGTATGACTTGTCTGGTGTCTCAGGACCTCTGTCTTCCCTGGTCGTAGGTTATAATACACTATGACTTGTCTGATGTCTCACCACCTCTGTCTTCCCTGGTCGTAGGTTATAATACACTATGACTTGTCTGATGTCTCACCACCTCTGTCTTCCCTGGTCGTAGGCCCCAGATGCTGGTGCTATTGAACATGGAGTCTGACCACACGGTGAAACACCCACGCCTGCTCTCCTTCTGCACCCAGCTCAAAGCAGGCAAAGGCCTGACCATCGTGGGCTCTGTGCTGCAGGGCACGTACATGACCAAGGAGGTCGAGGTCAAGAAGGCCGAGCAGGTACTGTAGGCACAGGATCAGATTATACACTGTGGATGTGTTTCAATAGTCGTAAGTGGCTTCCTCTCTTTCGTCTGACGTGAAAGAACCTGGTAGGTGAGAGGAAAATGGTGTGAATCTCTCCAAGTCTTTAATGTAGCAGTGATTATGGAGGTGAGGAAAGAAAGCCCCTTTAGACTGCTGTAGATGTCGTATGTCTCTGTGAGACACCTGTTCAGAGAAGCAACCAGTGTGAGAAGAGTTTAGAGGCTGCTGACAGTTCTTCCTTTAAAGAGACTGCCATCTACTGGACGCCCAAAGCAATTTTCAGAGAGCAGTTCCTCAGATTACCATGAGAATGCTACAAATATCGTGCCTCACCACCTAAAAAACAAACATAGGCATCGATTACCAGGGTTTGAGTCCATTCCGATTCTGTCACATCAGGAAATCATATGCTCGTACTTCTTTTCTCACTCTTCTTCTTGGTGACTTTCTCCATCAGAACATCAAGTCGTCGATGACGACGGAGCGTACCAAGGGCTTCTGCCACGTGGTGGCATCGTCCAACCTGCGCGATGGTTTCTCCCACCTCATCCAGACGGCAGGCCTGGGGGGCATGAAACACAACACGGTCCTCATGGCCTGGCCCGGCTCCTGGAAGCAGTCGAATGACCCCGTCTCCTGGAAGAACTTCATAGGTTAGTCAGTGTGACCCACTGGGATTTGAGACTGCGCCACAAGACTGTGTTAGCCCTCTGAGATAAAGCCTAGGCATTAACTTGGGTAGCTAATGTGCTAACATTCTAAGGCAAGGTTCTCATCATCATACATCATACGTCTAGGAACATACAGAGAAGGAACTACCAGATGTGTCATAAAGTAATCCTTCTTCCCCCCCCCCCCCACATAAAAAAAGAAAAAAGGTGGTTGTCCCACTGGCTATCATAAGTTGAATGCACCAATTTGTAAGTCGCTCTGGATAAGAGCGTCTGCTAAATGATGTAAATGTAAAATAACCCGGAAGTAAAGCCACACTGGGATCCACATTTGCAATGGAATACATTGAATACATGGAGCAGGGTAGAGGGGGAAAAATGACATTAAAACAGGATTTAAATGTATTTTCGGAAGGGCAGTGGTCACCATTCATGTAATACATGAAATATATACATCCTAGTTTGCGAGCGATGTTGTCAGGCTACATCGTATCATTGTTTTCTTCTTCAGAGTCAGAGTTCACTGGTGAGCAACAACATCATTTCACTTCACCAAGACATCCATGAGTTCTTCACGTTTAACTCTATATCTACACATTTGTGAATGATGATGATGATGATGTTGTTTATGATGGTGAAGAGGGTGATTGAATTTACAATATACAACGGGGGTTGGCAACTAGGTTTGGCCTCCAGCCAATTTGTTCCTGAGCTTGTAATGGTCAGTGGGCCAGACCATAATAGCCTATTAGCAAATAGCCTACTAGCTGCCCAGTTTATAGCCCTACACTACACATTTAACACGTGTGGTTAGTGGGATAATCAATTCAATTACAAAAACATAATATAATGTATATCTGATTACAGTGGTAAAATCACCAATGGCTCTATTGATAGGCCCTTCCTACTCTATTGGAATATATTCATCTTACTGTATTTCTCCAATGCCAAACCAGTGTGTCTGTCGCTGTTTGCAAAGAATTCAATCTGAGATGTCATTACGAATCTAAGTATGGTACTTTCAGAAGTTGATTTTCCACCACAGACATGAGGTCCGAATCAGAAAGGAGGTAGGCCTATTTAAAGAATGCATGGTGACAGTATTGGAGGAAATAGCTATCCCGACAAATAGGCTATATGGATAACATAATTGCGTCTGTCAAACAGGTATAAGCCTACCTCTTATTTCTTAGTGCTCCAACAAAGCCGTCTTGTTAGTACATTTGCCTAATCAACATTCAGCACGGGGTGCTGTCCAAATTGATTTTAAAAACAGTGATCCACACGCGAGTGGTGGCTGCATCTCAACTAATCTTTTTTTCTAATTGATCCAATTATATTCCATTCTCTTGTTTTTATCATGGACATATTCCAACTAATATTGTAATTAAGCTTTCACATGTGTGTTTTACACATTTTATCAAGCTGTTGGTGCTTGCTTCTATTTATGCCAAATCATTTGACCGCTCCTGTTTCCTTACGTTATTCCCTTACAATTTTCTGTAGTGAATAGAAAATACCATATGCCCATCAAATCCCACATTATTGTTAATGAAGTCATGATGTGTGTGAGTTTGTGTCTGGATTGGGAAGGTGGGAAACTTATCAACGAGAGAAAGAAGCCAATCAATCTCATTGCATAAGTTATTTTCAGTTTATGAGCCGTCACTCCTCATGCGACGGAGAAATTAAAACCAACATTCAACTTTTATTCATTGATTGAATGAAACCGTATCAATACATTTGAATCATGACAGTCATATGATGGAAAAGTTTAAACAATTCCGATTCCGATTCACGTTTGTCCTACAAGAGGAAATCTTAGCACTTCTCACACATCACATAGGCCTAAACAAAACATATAGAAAACACACAATAGGAACAGTCAGACAGATACCTTTCCTACCCTCCCACCCCACCCCACCCCACACCTGCCCATATGTCAGACAGATACCTTTCCTACCCCCCCACCCCACCCCACACCTGCCCATATGTCAGACAGATACCTTTCCTACCCCCCCACTCCACCCCACCCCACACCTGCCCATATGTCAGGCAGATACCTTTCCTACCCTCCCACCCCACCCCACCCCACACCTGCCCATATGTCAGACAGATACCCTTTTCACGGTCAAGCGAAATGATACAATATATAACTTGTGCACCAGTAGGCTCTGAAGAGGGAACAATGGTATGTAGTCTAACAACATCGCTCCCAAACGGCACAGATGTGAGTTTTATTTTCGCTATAGAAGCACTGGTCCTCTTAAATTGGAATTCCAAGTTGCACATTAAAATATTTAGGGTCATGTGACGGTCTGCGCTGCATTCCTCCCCTTCACACCAGGGCTGCCAAGAAAATAGGTTTGCTGTAAGAGGTAAATGGGAAAATAATGGACCATTGAGAAAAAATAAATAAAATAAAAAAACTATAAAATAGCTCCCCGCTTTGAGATGTACAGTACCAGTCAAACGTTTGGACACACCTACTCATTCAAGGGTTTTTCTTTCTTTATTTTTTACTATTTTCTATGTAGAATAATAGTGAAGATATCAAAACCATGAAATAACAAAAATGGAATCATGTAGAAACCAAAAAAGTGTTAAACAAATGAAAATATATTTTAGATTCTTCAAAGTAGCCACCCTTTGACTTGATGACAGCTTTGCACACTCTTGGCATTCTCTCAACCAGCTTGATGAGGAATGCTTTTCCAACAGTCTTGAAGACTGTTCCCACATATGCTGAGCACTTGTTAGCTGCTTTTCCTCCACTCTGCGATCCGACTCGTCCCAAACCATCTCAATTGGGTTGAGGTCGGGTGATTGTGGAGGCCAGGTCATCTGATGCAGCACTCCATCACTCTCCTTGGTCAAATAGCCCTTACACAGCCTGGAGGTGTGTTTTGGGTCATTGTCCTGTTGAAAAACAAATGATAGTCCCACTAAGCGCAAACCAGATGGGATGGCGTATCGCTGCAGAATGCTGTGGTAGCCATGCTGGTTAAGTGTGCCTTGAATTCTAAATAAATCACAGACAGTGTCACCAGCAAAACACCCTCACACCATCACACCTCCTCCTCCATGCTTCATGGTGGGAACCATACATGCGGAGATCATCCGTTCACCTACTCTGCGTCTCACAAAGACAAGGCGGTTGGAACCAAAAAAGTATCTTCTTATTATTGGTGTCCTTTAGTAGTGGTTTCTTTGCAGCAATTCAACCATGAAGGCCTGATTCACGCAGTCTCCTCTGAACAGTTGATGTTGAGATGTGTCTGTTACTTGAACTCTGTGAAGCATTTATTTGGGCTGCAATCTGAGGTGCAGTTAACTCTAATTAACTTATCCTCTGCAGCAGAGGTAACTCTGAGTCTTCCTTTCCTGTGGCGGTCCTCATGAGAGCCAGTTTCATCATAGCGCTTGATGGTCTTTGTGACTGCACTCGAAGAAACTTTCAAAGTTCTTGAAATGTTCCGTATTGACTGACCTTCATGTCTTAAAGTAATGATGGACTGTCATTTCTCTTTGCATATTTGAGCTGTTCTTGCCATAATATGGACTTGGTCTTTTACCAAATAGGGCTATCTTCTGTATACCACCCCTAACTTGTCACAACACAACTGATTGGCTCAAACGCATTAAGAAGGAAAGAAATTCCACAAATTAACTTTTAACAAGGCACAACTGTTAATTGAAATGCATTCCAGGTGACTACCTCATGAAGCTGGTTGAGAGAATGCCAAGACTGTTCAAAGCTGTCATCAAGGCAATGGGTGGCTACTTTGAAGAATCTAAAATCTAAAATATATTTTGATTTGTTTAACACTTTATTGGTTACTACATGATTCCATGTGTGTTATTTCATAGTTTATGTCTTCACTATTATTCTACAATTATTCTACTATTAACCCCTGGAATGAGTAGGTGTGTCCACATTTGTGACTGGTACTGTATATATTTAATGTATTAATTTAATGATTTCCACAGCCCTTCCAAAAAAAACACATTTAAATCGTGTTTTAAAGCTAATTTTTTTCCACCCTGCTCCATGTATTCGATATATTCCATTTCAAATGTGGCTCCCAATGTGGCTTTACTTCCGGGGTATTATGACACATCTGGTAGTTCCTTCTCTGTATGTTCCCAATCATACGTTTGTCTGTTAGATGGACATGTTGCACAATCCCCTACAATAACATTACTGAGATGTGTGTGTGTGTGTGTGTGTGTGTGTGTGTGTGTGTGTGTGTGTGTGTGTACGTATTTAACCGCCTTTCTCTCTGTCCCCCTCCACAGAAACTGTGAGGGAGACCACGGCGGCGAATCAGGCCTTACTAGTGGCCAAGAACGTGGACAGCTTCCCCACCAACGCGGACCGCCTGGGCGAGGGCACCATAGACGTGTGGTGGATCGTCCACGACGGAGGACTGCTTATGCTGCTGCCCTTCCTCCTCCGCCAGCACAAGGTATTCACGGTGGTGTTGTTAGCGTTTCACCTGGATGGAATACACTCAGTTTATTAGGTACGTCCATCTAGTACCGGGTCGGACCCCCTCTGCCTACAGAACAGCCTGAATTCTTCAGGGCATGAGTTCTACAAGGCGGGGCATTCAAACGTTGCTCAATTGGTATCAAGGGACCTAACGTGTACCAGGAAAACATTCCCCACACCACTTCACCACCACCCTGTACCATCGACACCAGGCAGGATGTGGCCATGGACTCACGCTGCTTACGCCAAATCCTGACTCTGCCATCAGCATGACGCAAAAGGAACCGGGATTCGTCAGACCAGGCAATGTTTTTCCACTCCTCAATTGTCCAGTGTTGGTGATCGCGTGCTCACTGGAGCTACTTCTTCTTGTTTTTAGCTGATAGGAGTGGAACCCGGTGTGGTCGTCTGCTGCAATAGCCCATCCGTGACAAGGACCGACGAGTTGTGAGTTCCGAGATGCCGTTTTTCACACCACTGTTGTACTGCGCCGTTATTTGTCTGTTTGTGGCCCGCCTGTTAGCTTGCACGATTCTTGCCATTCTCCTTCGACCTCTCTCATCAAATAACTGTTTTTGCCCACAGGACTGCCGCTGACTGGATGTTTTTTGTTTGTCGCACCATTCTCGGTAAACCCTAGACACTGTCGTGTGTGAAAAGCCCAGGAGGCCGGCCATTTCTGAGATACTGTATCCGGCGCGCCTGGCACTGATGATCATACGATGCTCAAAGTCGCTTAGTCACTTGTTTCGCCCATTCTAACGTTCAATCAAACAATAACTGAATGCCTCGATGCCTGTCTGCCTGCTTTATATAGCAAGCCATGGCCACGTGACTCACTGTCTGTAGGAGCAAACCATTTTGGTGAACGGGGTGGTGTACTTAATAAACTGTGTATGAACATACAGTACTTAATTTTTAACACACAAATAGGCACACGTATAATAATACTATATAATTGACACGTTGCATTGGGTCACACATAGATCAAATGGAGGGTTTCATTCTATCTTTTTCCTCCATCTCTCCTACTCTTTTCTTTCTCACCCTTTTTTCCCTATACAATCCCCTCCCTCCCCTCCCTCCCTCCCTCCCTCCCTCCCTCCCTCCCCCTCCCTCCCTCCCCCTCTCTCTCTCTCTCCCTCTCTCTCTCTCCCCCCCCCTCTCTCTCTCCCCCCCTCTCTCTCTCCCACCCTCTCTCTCTCCCACCCTCTCTCTCTCCCCCCCCCTCTCTCTCTCCCTCTCTCTACACCCCAGGTTTGGAGGAAGTGTAAGATGCGTATCTTCACGGTGGCTAATATGGATGACAACAGTATTCAGATGAAGAAGGACCTCCAGATGTTCCTCTACCACCTCCGTCTGGACGCTGAGGTGGAGGTGGTGGAGATGGTGAGTTTACCTGTAGACCTCTGGGGCACTGACATGTCCCAATAATAACTGGCATGTTCCTATAGAACCAATAATAACTGACATGTCCCAATAATAACTGGCATGTTCCTATAGAACCAATAATAACTGACATGTCCCAATAATAACTGGCATGTTCCTATAGAACCAATAATAACTGACATGTTCCTATAGAACCAATAATAACGGATATGTCTCTATAGAACCCAATAAGAATGGATATGTCTCTATAGAACCCAATAATAACGGATATGTCTCTATAGAACCCAATAAGAACGAATATGTCTCTATAGAACCCAATAATAACTGACATGTCTCTATAGATCCAGTAATAACTGACATGTCTCTATAGATCCAATAATAACTGGCATGTGCCTATAGAACCAATAATAACTGACATGTTCCTATAGAACCAATAATAACTGATGTCTCTATAGAACCCAATAATAACGGATATGTCTCTATAGAACCCAATAAGAATGGATATGTCTCTATAGAACCCAATAATAACGGATATGTCTCTATAGAACCCAATAAGAACGAATATGTCTCTATAGAACCCAATAATAACTGACATGTCTCTATAGATCCAATAATAACTGGCATGTGCCTATAGAACCAAATCAAATGTTATTTGTCGCATACACGTGTTTAGCAGATGTTATTGCGGGTGTAGCGAAATGCTTGTGCTTCTAGCTCCGACAGTGCAGTAATATCTAACAAGTAACATCTAACAATTTCACAACATATACCCAATAAACACAAATCTAGTAAGGAATGGAATTTAAGAATATATACATATATGGACAAGCAATGACAGAGCGGCATGGACTAAGATACAGTAGAATATTATAGAATAGAATACAGTATATACATATGAGATGAGTAGTGCAAGATATGTAAACATTATTAAATTGACTAGTGTTCCATTTCTTAAAGTGGCCAGTGATTTCAATAGGCAGCAGCAGCCTCTAATGTGCTAGTGATGGCCAATAATAACTGATATGTCCCTATAGAATCAATAATAACTTGAGGTGTAACTCAATGAAGTCAAGCACATGTCTCTCAAGTTCAGATTTGGCCTCAGATTCTCAGTTGTTTTTGATATCGTTAGATATTAAAAGGACGAACCTCCAGCACCCTGGGGATCAAAGTGAACCAATGTTTCAGTCAATACACCTTCATCGGGGTTTCTTTACATACAGTAGAAAAAATGGATGATGCTTAATTTATCCTTTGTGTGTATTTGAAGATAAATCTTTATTTATTTTATTTTTTGTGTGTAAATCTCCGATTGATGCCAATGCATGATTTACAGTACACTCAGACACTAAGGTCTGAGAGAAAAGGTTTCTTTTGAAAAACGATTTGAAATATTTTTTATTATGCCTTACCCTGCATAATAATTGTGTGTGTTTTGAACAGCACGACAGCGACATCTCAGCCTTCACCTACGAGAAGACCCTGGTGATGGAGCAGCGCTCTCAGATGCTGAAACAGATGCAGCTGTCGCGGACAGAGAGGGAGAGAGAGGTAACACCGCCCCCTGTCTGCAGGGCACACTCACTACAACAGTCGGCCTTTTAAGGCTCTATCCCAAACGGCACCCTATTTATTTTATAGGGCACTACTTTTGACCAGGACCTATAGTCTCCGGTCAAAAGTAGTGCACTACATAGGGAATAGGGTGTCATTTGGTACGAACATGAAGTCAGTGTAGGCATTCTGTTTCTATAATGACCTGGTGAAGCGAGTATTAATATAATCTGTTATTGATTTTCAACACCTTTATCAGCTATTCCCAGTTTTATCTAAAGGAGGTGGTATAAACACAACGTAGATTTGTCATTGGGTTGTGGGTATCAGAGCTCTCCTAGCCCCCCTTGCCCTACTGTTCGTGGTATGACCTTTGGCCCCCTGTCCTCTCTGGCTGCCGATGCGGGGCGACACTGCCCTCAGGTTCAGAGTATCACTGACACGTCGCGTAGCTCCATCAGGAGGAAGAACCAGACCGGAGCTTCAGGCTCCGAATCTGACCCCAGTCGACAGCTGGAGGACACGCAGGAGGACGAGGTAGCCAACACCTCCCATCTGTTACCCAACGCCCCCCATCTGTTACCCAACGCCCCCCATCTATTACCCAACACCTCCCATCTGTACCCCCAACGCCCCCCATCTGTTACCCAACACCGCCCATCTGTACCCCCAACACCGCCCATCTGTTACCCAACACCCCCTATCTGTACCCCAACACCTATTTGTATCCCCAACACCCCCCATCTGTACCCCAACACATTTCATCTGTACTCCCACACCTCCCATCTGTACCCCCAACACCTCCCATCTGTATCCCCAACACCTCCCATCTGTATCCCCAACACCTCCCATCTGTATCCCCAACACCTCCCATCTGTATCCCCAACACCTCCCATCTGTATCCCCAACACCTCCCATCTGTATCCCCAACACCTCCCATCTGTATCCCCAACACCTCCCATCTGTATCCCCAACACCTCCCATCTGTATCCCCAACACCTCCCATCTGTATCCCCAACACCTCCCATCTGTATCCCCAACACCTCCCATCTGTATCCCCAACACCTCCCATCTGTATCCCCAACACCTCCCATCTGTATCCCCAACACCTCCCATCTGTATCCCCAACACCTCCCATCTGTATCCCCAACACACCCCATCTGTACCTCCAACACCTCCCATCTGCATCACCATTACCCTCAAGTCACCAACCCTCAGAGACCAGCATCACCATTACCCCCAAGTCACCAACCCTCAGAGACCACGCTTACATAGCCACAGCTGCTAGCAGTCAGGTACCTAAAGTAAGATAAAGTCTAGTCAAAATGTCCAGTTAAAGTGGCCCCTGGAAAGACCAACTATGGTAGACAGTGACTGTGTCTGTGTAGGTTACTCAACGTAGTGGCCTCTGGACGTCATGGACACACCTCTTTCCGCATGCGTCACTGATCAAGTCATCCATCCCTCCCTCCCTCCCTCCTCCACCCATCCCCCTACACCTGGTTCATTCCCCGTGGATCATCACTCCATCTCAGTGTCATAGCTCCAACTAGCATGTTCTCTCACTCCTTACTAAAGGGCTATTGGCCTGTGTAGAGAACACTGGTGTTGTTGTGCACGTTGCACGTCATAGATTTTGGTGTGATTGTAACCCTGTACAATTTAATGTCATTCATGTTTATTGGGATGTAAAAAGTGTTTTTTACTATGTGTGTTGACTGGATAAGCACCAGGTTTGTGTAACTCCATAGTTTCTAGCCTGTAGTCTCTCCCTCTCTATCTCTTCCTCCGTCTCTCTCTTCCTCCGTCTCTCTCTTCCTCCGTCTCTCTCTTCCTCCGTCTCTCTCTTCCTCCGTCTCTCTCTTCCTCCGTCTCTCTCTTCCTCCGTCTCTCTCTTCCTCCGTCTCTCTCTTCCTCCGTCTCTCTCTTCCCCGTCCTCTCTTCCTCCGTCTCTCTCTTCCTCCGTCTCTCTCTTCCTCCGTCTCTCTCTTCCTCCGTCTCTCTCTTCCTCCGTCTCTCTCTTCCTCCGTCTCTCTCTTCCTCCTCTTCTTCCTCTTCTCTTCCCCGTCTCTCTCTTCCTCCGTCTCTCTCTGTCCTTCCGTCTTCTCTCCCGTCTCTCTTCCTCGTCTTCTCTCTCTCCTCCGTTCTCTCCTCTTCCTCTCCTCTCGTCTCTCTCTTCCTCCGTCTCTCTCTTCCTCGTCTCTGTCTCTTCGTCCTCTTCTTCTCCGTCTCTCTCTTCCTCCTTCTTCTCTCTCCTCTCTCCTCAGTTCTCTCTCTTCCTCTCTCTCCTCTTCCTCGCTCTGCTCTCTCTTCGTCTTCCCGTCTCTTCGTCTTCCATCTCTGTCTCTCTCCTCTCTCCATCCTCCAGTCCTCTCTCTTCCTGCCTCTCTCTCTCTCTGCTCTCTCTTCTCTCTCCTCTCCTTCCAGTCTCTCTCGCTTCTTCAGTCATCGTCTATCTCGTCCTCTGCCACTCAGTCTCTCTCCTGCCAGCTTTCTCCGAGCGTCACCGCTCGTCTTGCTGTGCGTCTCTCTCCATCTCTGTCTCTCTCTGTCTGTCTCTTTCTCATCATTTCCATCTCCTTCAGGCCCAGCTGATCCACGACAGAAACACGGCGTCCCATGCCGCGCTCAACGACAAGCCCGGCCCTGACCGAGTCCACATGACCTGGACCAAGGATAAGTTCCTCACCGAGCGTAACCGCAACCGCTCCGAGGCCAATATGGGTGTGCGCGATCTCTTCAACATGAAACCGTAAGTCAACCGCTATGAACCTCTTATCCTTGATCCTTCCAGATCCATAATAGAGAAGCCAGTGACTCTTCAGCAAGTATCTCTGTTGTACGGTTAGTGCCATCTGTAGAAACCTTTTTGCATGCATAGTAAATACTATAGCCGCCCGGAGCCAGACTCTTTGAAATGGTTTACACAGCCTGCATGGTGTGTGTCCAGTCTGCGTTGGCATGTTGACTGTGTGTGTGAACACGTCCAGTGCATGCCTCCACCACATGCACCGTTTGGACTAATGACCATCATGTTATCATTGTCTTTGTGTCTCTGAACCAACAATCTCAAAGGGCAGATAGAACCTCTAGTTAAATACACAGCCCAAAATCAAACAAGCTCAAACATTATTAGGACACTATACTGAACCTGACCCACAGAGGCCAATAGTAGAGACCATACATTATTAGGACACTATACTAGACCTGACCCACAGAGGCCAATACTAGATACCATACATTTTTTTTCCTACCTCTAGACTACATTTGAGCTGTGAAAACATTTGACTGGAACCATCCCTCTAAAATGAGGGAAGCACTGTGTTTATCTGTGTAGTAGTAGAAACACCAGGGGTTTCTGTGTTTAACTGTGTAGTAGTAGACACGCCAGGGGTTTCTGTGTTTAACTGTGCAGCAATAGACACACCAGGGGTTTGTAGAAAGCGTCTAAGCCTGTTTCTGCTGTTCTGTCTCGTTTTTTTCTCCTAGAGAGTGGGAGAGTCTGTAAGTCACATTTCATTTTGCCATAGAGCCATAGGATGTGTGCATGTCTGTTGCTCTGTAACAGTAGTCCTTTTCTGTGTCCGCCATCTTGTTCACCTCCCAGCCACTGGGACTGTGCGTGCGTGGAGGATAAACTCCACATCCCATTCCTCCCAACGTTTGTCTCGTATACTGGAAGGACCTCCCTAAAGTTCATTTGCATGTGATTGCGTCATGTTATGTAGCATGTGCAACCAAAATTGCGCTTTCCATACACAGACCTTAGTCATAGCAAACTTATACTGTCAACGCCTTATCGTTTTAGTTTTGTGTAGGAACAAATCCAAAGACAATCAGTCTTTCAAAATCCATTTTAAATTGGTAATTACAAATCGGTCTGATATTGTCCTTTACACTGTCAAACCTCAACTGGATGGAAAGCGTCAGTTATTTGGAAGTGCCTCGTTTGTATATGTGTTTATTCAGCTTCAAGCCATTCATATCATGCTCTGTATTATTTATTTTTTTTTACCTTGCTGTTCGCTCTAACTCAAGAAGGGCTTTTCAATATTGCACCCAATATCACATTGAACTGGTCAATTAAAGAACAAGTTGACTACTGAAATGTTGTGTATACAACACAGTATTGTACAATAGAACATGTCATACCCACAGGCTTACCCAGTGTGTTAAGTCAGTACACCAGGCACCTTCAGCCTCTCGACCGCCCTCCTTTCCACGGACGCTGCTTTGACTCCCACCCTGATCTTTTAATTCAGAGTGAAACGATAACACCGGAGGCTTCACTATCATAACCACCAACGCTCCTGCTTTAATGTCCTGCTTCATGTTCTTGTCTGTTTGTGTTAAAAGGCTGCCAATCTCACAATACCACTGTATTTGCTCAATATTATCAATAAGTGTTTTTTTTTTTTTCAATCATCACTGAATGCTTTGATTTTGACAGATCACGTTTTCTCAACAGTATTTGGTGTTTAGTGAGAACAATGACAGATTTTTAGATTAGCTACTGTTGGTTGAGTCATCATTTTAGACGCTATTAACTCAAACTTTTGCCTGAATCATACATTGATAACGTCAATGGAGGATCACTGGTAAAAGTTGGAGTTGAGCACCGTATTTCTAGTAAGGATTCGATGTCAAGAACTTTGCTCATTTTCAAAAGCGTAATGTCATTCCAGTTCATTATTATTATTATTATTATTGGAAAAGTCAGGGTCACAGGTCAGAGGTCAGAGGTCAGAGGTCAGGGTTGAGGTGTGTTCAGCCTGCTCTCTTCATTGTCACCATTGTGTGGTATAGGAACCAGTCCAACGTACGCCGGATGCACACTGCGGTCAAGCTGAACGAGGTGGTGGTGAACAGGTCACAGGGAGCCCACCTGGTCCTGCTCAACATGCCGGGACCGCCCAAAAACAGAGGGGGTGACGAGAACTGTATCCTTTTTAAAGACAAATGTCTGTTTATTCAACTTTTAACATCAATGTCAGTAGAATTGTGCATTGCTTAGTTGGACATGTTTACCCAAAGTTAACTTCAAAGGCATCATCATCAGCGATCTGACAAGGTTGAGGATGATCTCTTTGCAAAGGTTGTTTAGTTGTTAACAGTGAAGTCGTTGATTTGTATCTTTAAAACATATTATAACTAATAGCTTTACAGCTGACGCTCCCCTTGCCAGTCATGTGATCTGGATCCACCCCTCTCATGTGACTGGTTTCTTCCTTGACCCCTTGCGTCTCAGACATGGAGTTCCTGGAGGTTCTGCTGGAGGGTCTCAACCGGGTCCTCCTGGTCCGCGGGGGCGGCCGTGAAGTCATCACCATCTACTCTTAAAGGAAATGGCGCGCCACGTGCCACAGCAATAAGGGGGCATTTTAGGGAGAAACAAACCTTGGGGTTGTTGTAGGATTGTCGGATGGGGGGGGGGGGGGGGGCGGGCATGTCATTGGACAGAGGACTTCTTGACCTCGGAAGGGACGACCAATCAAGGCTGTGTGATGTCATAGCATCGCCCTGATTCGTGGAGAGAGCACAGGTGTCCTGGGGTCCTGCCTATCACGCCGACCGACTGGAGGATAGAGCATTCATACACTTTAACTTTTAATTTGACATGTGATGTTTATTGTTCTGATTTTCTTATTTATCTCTCTCTCTGTGTCTCTCTCTGTGTCTCTCTCTCTCTCTGTGTCTCTCTCTGTGTCTCTCTCTGTGTCTCTCTCTCTCTCTGTGTCTCTCTCTCTCTGTGTGTCTCTCTCTCTCTCTCTCTCTGTGTCTCTCTCTGTGTCTCTCTCTGTGTCTCTCTCTCTCTGTGTCTCTCTCTGTGTGTGTCTCTCTCTCTCTCTCTCTCTGTGTGTCTCTCTCTGTGTCTCTCTCTGTCTGTGTGTTGAGTTTTCGTATTTGTTCATGGTAATTGTGTACTATGTAGGGTGCCATAGTCTCTCACCGCTTAGTTTGACTATCTTAGTCCTCATTTTGGTTCAAATTGATGTCAACTTGCTGCCTCTAAGTCTAACTCTAATTTAATATTTCCTGGTCCATCTATTATCTGTATGAACTCAATAGAAACATTTTTTTACCTGGATTAATATGCTTCGGTGAATCTTTGCAGTATCCTAGCCCACATCAGAGAATCTGTTAGAACGGATGGAGGTGGCAAGTCCAAAACAAAGCTTATTTTTATTTCAAGTCTGTCCCACACAAAGTTGTTGCTATAGCTTTCCTGAGCTCCATTGTCCCTTGGTTGTTAAAGGTGGGGTCATATTACGAGCTCTCCTGTCCTACGGGTACCCTCTCCTGTCCTACGGGTACCCTCTCCTGTCCTACGGGTACCCTCTCCTGTCCTACGGGTACCCTCTCCTGTCCTACGGGTACCCTCTCCTGTCCTACGGGTACCCTCTCCTGTCCTACGGGTACCCTCTCCTGTCCTACGGGTACCCTCTCCTGTCCTACGGGTACCCTCTCCTGTCCTACGGGTACCCTCTCCTGTCCTACGGGTACCCTCTTATTCCCCCTAATCTACTCAGAGAGGACTTCTCACTTCTAATTGAGGAAGTTAGGAGGTTTAGCTCATAAGCGGATCTAGCCACCTGGTTGGACTAGGGTTCATTCATTTATTTCAATTGTCAAGGGATTTATTGTTAATGTTGCTCTGTTCAGCACGATGTCTGAAAGAGGTGTGTTGTGTTGTGTTGTGTATGGCGCTGGGGCGGGGGGCTTTGGGCAAGGGATAGGCCAAGGATTTGATTGTGCAATAGATGCTGTTGATGTGGTGACTTGCATACATCTCACTAAAACCCTGAGACACTGAAGGTGGTCCACCTTGCCTGGGAGGTCTTCTAAATGGACCCTGTGGTATTGGCTCTGTAGCGTTGGTCAAAGCACCCAAGTACAGCCGTTGCGTTGGGAAAAATAGCCATACTATATATTATATGTATTTAACCCTTGTTGACTTATGTTACACACAGTACACAGCATTTAAGCATATTTATATGAAGATTTACAAAGTTGCAATTATTGGAAATTGAAGGGAATGGAAATGGCTTTTTCTATGTTCAGGAGTGCTGCTTTAAATGCACGTGCTGTTCCACAGCGGCACCAGTCTAGGACAACTGGGGTCATCAGGGTACTCTTCACCTACCAGAGCCCATTACAGCTATGCATCAACTGGGGTCATCAGGGTACTCTTCACCTACCAGAGCCCATTACAGCTATGCATCAACGTATAAGACAAATCATGAGCTGGTTTGACATTAGTTGAATTTGAACTAATCATCAACTAAATAATTGGTCCATTTCGCTTTGACCCTCCATCAGAAAGAAAAGGTTATTGTTGGAGCCACTGTTGTGTCTGTTTTTAGGTAGGCTCATTTTCAGCACGGCGTCGTTAGGGACATTTTTTTGCTCCGTCTTCGATGCACGGCACTGCAGTATTTTTCTGTTCATTGCGTGGTTTGGCTCTGCTAATAGAAGTCTTTATGCTGGGATGTTATAATACATCGACACCTAATACATTCACATGGTTGGGAGTATCTCATGTCTATCACAGAACACCAAACCAAGATTCTGTACTGGAAAAGAATAGACAGGAAGAGTGTCATCATGATATACAGTTGAAGTCGGAAGTTTTACGTATACTTAGGTTGCAGTCATTAAAACTCGTTTTTCAACCACTCCACAAATTTCTTGTTCACAAACTATAGTTTTGGCAAGTCGGTTAGGACATCTACTTTGTGCATGACACAAGTAATTTTTCCAACAATTGTTTACAGACAGAAAATGATGTCATGGCTTTAGAAGCTTCTGATAGGCTAATTGACATAATTTGAGTCAATTGGAGGTGTACTTGTGGATGTATTTCAAGGCCTACCTTCAAACTCAGTGCCTCTTTGCTTGACATCATGGAAAAATAAAAATAAATCAGCCAAGACCTCAGAAAAAAAATGGTAGACCTCCACAAGTCTGGTTCATCCTTGGGAGCAATTTCCAAACGCCTAAAGGTACCACGTTCATCTGTACAAACAATACTATGCAAGTATAAACACCATGGGACCACGCAGCCATCATACCGCTCAGGAAGGAGACGCGTTCTGTCTCCTAGAGATGAACGTACTTTGGTGCGAGAAGTGCAAATCAATCCCAGAACAACAGAAAATGACCGTGTGAAGATGCTGGAGGAAACAGGTACAAAAGTATCTATATCCACAGTAAAACGAGTCCTAAATCGACATAACCTGAAAGGCGAAGAACACCATCCCAACCGTGAAGCAGAGGGGTGGCAGCATAATGCTGTGGGGGTGCTTTGCTGCATGAGGGACTGGTGCCCTTCACAAAATAGATGGCATCATGAGGAAGGAAAATTATGTGGATATATTGAAGCAACATCTCAAGACATCAGGAAGTTAAAGCTTGGTCGCAAATGGGTCATCCAAATGGACAATGACCCCAAGCATACTTCCAAAGTTGTGGCAAAATGGCTTAAGGACAACAAAGTCAAGGTATCGGAATGGCCATCACAAAGACCTGACCTCAATCCTATAGAACATTTGTGGCCAGAACTGAAAAAGCGTGTGCGAGCAAGGTGGCCTACAAACCTGACTCCGTTACACCAGCTCTGTCAGGAGGAATGGGCCAAAATTCATCCAACTTATTGTGGGAAGCTTGTGGAAGGCTACCCGAAACGTTTGACCCAAGTTGAACAATTTAAAGGCAATGCTACCAAATACTAATTGAGTGTATGTAAACTTCTGACCCACTGGGAATGTGATGAAAGAAATAAAAGCTGAAATAAATCATTCTCTACTATTATTCTGACATTTCACATCCTTCAAATAAAGTGGTGATCCTAACTGACCTAAGACAGGGAATTTGTACTAGCATTAAAATGTCAGTAATTGTGAAAAACTGAGTTTAAATGTATTTAGGCTAAGGTGTATGTAAACTTCCGACTTCAACTGTAGCTCTGTCCCATGTTGTGGTCCGAACCATCAATGTTTTCTCTCTCTCTGAAGATGAGCATGCAGAGGTGAGCAGAAATGGAGTTACTGAAAACATGCTGTCTCTTAGAGCAATCATTTAGGACAAATGAGGGGGTCCATAGGATGTGGGGTCCACAGGAATCAGCTGATCACACTGTTCAATGTCAGGATTTGTTATCCTATTATCTGTATGCATATTCTCTAGGTTTCATGTCAGCTGACCCCGATGAATCATTTTGATTTTGTATAGGAAGAAGCATGCCAAAAAGACTAAGATGTGAAAGTATATGCTTGTCAATGTCAGCCACGGTGCACGTGCCAGCAGACGAACGTGCTTGTAGGGCAGGGGGGAAAAGCAAGATCACCTTCAATTTGTAAATACAGTATAAGATATTATAACCACTTAATGCTTTTGATTTGGAGACACAGAGGTACACACATTTGAACTCAAATTATTACCCAAGAGAACATTTTTTGAGTTTCCGATTACAAAATGACTTCTGTGATTTCTAGGGCACATGATACCTAGTTCTATAGGCAACTGGCGCCAGATATAGGAAACTATTGGGACAAAGGAAGGAAGGAATCACTCACCTAACTCCTGTATATACCTCCGCATTTTCTTTTTTTAACCTTTTTCGTAGCTGTGTAGTATTTTGTAACCAGAACATTGTATTTTTCAACAGTTATGTCTCATAAAATAAGTGTCCCTGTTGTTGTAGCGTTGACCATCAGTTAGACAATGTCGTGTGTCCTTTTTTTGTTTGGTTTTTTTTCCCGACGTACGCCTGTGTAACTTGTAGTCGTAGTGTCTGTGCACTTAACAGTTATGTTATACTTGACTCTGTGGCTTTTCAGGACTGGAGTCTTGTGATGCCTAGGAGGGGGGGGGGGGGTGTATATATATGTCAAGATATGTTTGTGTTTTTTTTCCTAACCCATTGGAAACACAACATGGACAAGGCTTTTGAAGACCTCTGCTTGGACTCTGGCAGAGATTTCACAGAAAGGATTTTAGAGGAGCCAGTTGGAGAATGGGGTATGTTACTAACATGAGTTTAAGTTCATTTAACATTTGTATTATATTTTAAGGTTTCTAGCCCCCAAAGATAAAATCTTTGAGTCTGTGATATGAAACATCCAAGTTGTTAAGAGTGTAAAAAAAAAAAAAAAAAGATTACTTCAAACCTTAGAGGACACAAAGCTAAGGCTTCTGGGTGACCGTATAGGACGTATAAGGACATATGTTCCACCAATCTGGTTTAAGTGATGAGAATGTAATCTACCTCGAGGTGAATACCGTGGAGGCTTTGTCAAAGGAGAATAAACCTGTCAAATCGCTTTCTCTTTTCTCTG